CCGCCGACCTGGCAGCCGCCGACCTGGCAGCCGCCGACCTAGCACCCGCCGACCTGGCACCCAGCACTCGCCGACCTAGCACCCGCCGACCTAGCACCCGCCGACCTAGCACCCGCCGACCTAGCACCCGCCGACCTGGCAGCCGCCGACCTGGCAGCCGCCGACCTGGCAGCCGCCGACCTAGCACCCGCCGACCTGGCACCCGCCGACCTGGCACCCGCCGACCTAGCACCCGCCGACCTAGCACCCGCCGACCTAGCACCCGCCGACCTAGCACCCGCCGACCTAGCACCCGCCGACCTAGCACCCGCCGACCTAGCACCCGCCGACCTAGCACCCGCCGACCTAGCACCCGCCGACCTAGCACCCGCCGACCTAGCAGCCGCCGACCTGGCAGCCGCCGACCTAGCAGCCGCCGACCTGGCAGCCGCCGACCTAGCACCCGCCGACCTAGCACCCGCCGACCTGGCACCCGCCGACCTGGCACCCGCCGACCTGGCACCCGCCGACCTGGCACCCGCCGACCTGGCACCCGCCGACCTAGCACCCGCCGACCTAGCACCCACCGACCTAGCACCCGCCGAACTAGCACCCGCCGACCCGGCACCCGCCGACCCGGCAGCCGCCGACCTAGCAGCCGCCGACCTAGCAGCCGCCGACCTAGCAGCCACCGACCTAGCTGCCACCGACCTAGCACCCACCGACCTAGCACCCGCCGACCTAGCACCCGCCGACCTAGCACCCGCCGACCTGGCACCCGCCGACCTAGCACCCGCCGACCTAGCACCCACCGACCTAGCAGCCGCCGACCTAGCAGCCGCCGACCAAGCAGCCACCGACCTAGCACCCGCCGACCTGGCACCCGCCGACCTGGCAGCCGCCGACCTAGCACCCGCCGACCTAGCACCCGCCGACCTAGCAGCCGCCGACCTAGCACCCACCGACCTAGCACCCGCCGACCTAGCAGCCGCCGACCTAGCACCCGCCGACCTAGCACCCGCCGACCTAGCACCCACCGACCTAGCACCCGCCGACCTAGCAGCCACCGACCTAGCACCCGCCGACCTAGCACCCGCCGACCTAGCACCCGCCGACCTAGCACCCGCCGACCTAGCACCCACCGACCTAGCACCCGCCGACCTAGCAGCCACCGACCTAGCACCCGCCGACCTAGCACCCGCCGACCTAGCACCCGCCGACCTAGCACCCACCGACCTAGCAGCCGCCGACCTAGCAGCCACCTACCAAGCAGCCACCTACCTAGCACCCGCCGACCTAGCACCCGCCGACCTGGCAGCCGCCGACCTGGCAGCCGCCAACCTAGCACCCACCGACCTAGCACCCACCGACCTAGCACCCGCCGACCTAGCACCCGCCGACCTAGCACCCGCCGACCTAGCACCCGCCGACCTAGCACCCGCCGACCTAGCACCCGCCGACCTAGCACCCGCCGACCTAGCACCCGCCGACCTAGCACCCGCCGACCTAGCACCCGCCGACCTAGCACCCGCCGACCTAGCACCCGCCGACCTAGCACCCGCCGACCTGGCACCCGCCGACCTGGCACCCGCCGACCTGGCACCCGCCGACCTAGCACCCGCCGACCTAGCACCCGCCGACCTGGAACCCGCCGACCTGGCACCCGCCGACCTAGCACCCGCCGACCTAGCACCCGCCGACCTAGCACCCGCCGACCTAGCACCCGCCGACCTAGCACCCGCCGACCTAGCACCCGCTGACCTAGCACCCACCGACCTAGCAGCCGCCGACCTGGCACCCGCCGACCTAGCACCCGCCGACCTAGCACCCGCCGACCTAGCACCCGCCGACCTAGCACCCGCCGACCTAGCACCCGCCGACCTAGCACCCGCCGACCTAGCACCCACCGACCTAGCACCCGCCGACCTGGCACCCGCCGACCTAGCACCCACGGACCTAGCACCCGCCGACCTGGCACCCGCCGACCTAGCACCCGCCGACCTAGCACCCGCCGACCTAGCACCCACCGACCTAGCACCCGCCGACCTGGCACCCGCCGACCTAGCACCCACGGACCTGGCACCCGCCGACCTAGCACCCGCCGACCTAGCACCCGCCGACCTAGCACCCGCCGACCTAGCACCCGCCGACCTAGCACCCGCCGACCTAGCACCCGCCGACCTAGCACCCGCCGACCTAGCACCCGCCGACCTGGCACCCGCCGACCTGGCACCCGCCGACCTGGCACCCGCCGACCTGGCACCCGCCGACCTGGCACCCGCCGACCTAGCACCCGCCGACCTAGCACCCGCCGACCTAGCACCCGCCGACCTGGCACCCGCCGACCTGGCACCCGCCGACCTGGCACCCGCCGACCTGGAACCCGCCGACCTAGCACCCGCCGACCTAGCACCCGCCGACCTAGCACCCGCCGACCTAGCACCCGCCGACCTAGCACCCACCGACCTAGCACCCGCCGACCTGGCACCCGCCGACCTAGCACCCGCCGACCTAGCACCCGCCGACCTAGCACCCCACCCACCGACCTAGCACCCGCCGACCTGGCACCCGCCGACCTAGCACCCGCCGACCTAGCACCCGCCGACCTAGCACCCACCGACCTAGCACCCGCCGACCTGGCACCCGCCGACCTAGCACCCGCCGACCTAGCACCCGCCGACCTAGCACCCACCGACCTAGCACCCGCCGACCTGGCACCCGCCGACCTAGCACCCACGGACCTAGCACCCGCCGACCTGGCACCCGCCGACCTAGCACCCGCCGACCTGGCACCCGCCGACCTAGCACCCGCCGACCTGGCACCCGCCGACCTAGCACCCCCGACCTCGCACCCACCCACCTAGCACCCGCCGACCTAGCACCCGCCGTCCTAGCACCCGCCGTCCTAGCACCCGCCGACCTAGCACCCGCCGACCTGGCACCCGCCGACCAGGCACCCGCCGACCTAGCAGCCGCCGACCTAGCACCCGCCGACCTAGCACCCGCCGACCTAGCACCCACCGCAGTGCAAAGAGTGACGCAGTCGATGGGGAGGTGCCGGGTCATGAATGGATCCGCAGCATCGCGGAGAGCGCAGTGCTTGGGGAGGTGCTGGCTGGGGCCCCCTGGGGTTATGCTGCTGCTGCTGAGTGCAGCTGCTGCTGCAGGTTCTGGAGCACTTGGGAGGTGACACATGCGAGATGGGCGGTTGGGGCTATCGTTGTGGGCTAGATGGGAGGGGCTGCATTGGAAGGAAGCAGTGTGTATTGTTACACCGTACACGGTCCACCCATTTATGCGAATGTGGGCCCCATGCCGGTTGGATACCAGGCAATCCACCATGCAGGGGCGTTGAGCAGTACGGACATATAGCTAGTGTACACCTTCCAATCCGTGTTTCCTCTTTACCCCTCTTCTCGCCTTGCTGAGCAGTGCCTGCATTTCATCTTCTACATCTTTCCCTGCCTTATTCCCAACCTGCCAGCATGGATGCGATGACTAATGGCTTGTTTATGCAAAACCCGCGCCGGGTGAAGCCTCCTGCCGCAAATGCAGGAGCTGCAAAGACATGATGCGAACAACAAACACAATATGGTACGACACCCCGCCTCCGTAAAAACAATCTTCCCTGCCGTACATACACACGCACACAGCGCATGATGTCGTTACGTGCACACCAACACTTCAGCACCGCCGCCCTTGCGTTATCACCATGGTAAGAAATGGCACACAGCCCCCATGCATGTGAAACCCTGCCCATGCAGTTCGGGTGCAAAAATGAGCCCATTGCCTCCAATGCATCCGTGCATTCCAGTCACACGGCCACGCTCTTTCCCCAGCCCATTTTTATGCAATGACGTTCCAGATCCTCCCATGCAGTCGTTGACCCCGCCTCCTACTCTCCGCCGCCAAAAATGCACACCATCCTCTATGCTTGTTTTACTTGGGTGGATACCAAACCTCGTGCCTAGCGGTTCATGGCTGCCTAGCCAGGAACCTTCCCCCCACACCCTGCTCCTGCGTTATTCGTTATGCCCCTATGCGACGCCGTACCAGCCCCTCCCACCTCTAAAAGCTATGGAATCCGCCAGCAAAGCGCTCTCTGCCTTGTCCGGCAGGCCCCCCTTCTCATCCCCTGCCGCGACTACAGCATCCTGCGGCTAACCACTCCCGCCAGTTGGCATGCGGCCTTGAGAACCCTCCCCATCATCATCACAGCAACCTCCCTATGGTTTGGTATGGTCTCTTTAACCCACCGCAGTAGCAGCTCGCATGCAAGCACAGCCACGGACAAAATGCGTGCTTGGGCTACGACTATCCTCCTCCGTCCGCCGCCTCCGCCATCTCTTCCCCCAGGAAGCACCCCCTATGCCGGGCGCTGCACCTGTGGCACGCTGGGCGCTAACGCCGTCCAACACCACTGCCACCAGCCAGCAGCTAACAGCCCTTCATTATGCCCTTCCCAGGGCTCAGGCGTCACCTTTCTCTTCTCTCTCTCCCCCCTGACCTCTACCGCCCAACTCCTAAACCGTCACCTTAATTTTGCATCACCTGCGTCGCTACAAACCAATGCCCTCCCCATCCTCACCACGTCACCAGCAGCACCCCACCTGCGATGTCACCGCCTCGCCTTCTAGCGACTAGCACCTGCACTAGCAACTTAGCTATAGCACCAACAACCCTGCAGCTCTTCAGGAAAAAAGCTTGAACACCTCCATACTTCCCACACACAACCTCAACAAACAAATAGCAACAAAAAGACAACCACGATAACTTCCCGCCGAGCATACCCTGTAGCACCACACCGCTTCTTTTGACGGCAGACACTCGCCTCCTCCTTCCTCCCATCCACCCCTCCCTCTCATGCATGAGTCGGGATACGGGGTTGGAACTCCAGTTGCTTCACTTTTCATCTATTGTATCCCTCCCTCTCCTCAACCCTAATCCCTCCTCCCCTCTCCGCCCCCCATCCTCCTCCCTCCTCCCCCTTCCTCCTCCTCCCACCCCTCACGCCTTGAGCGCCGAGAAGTACAGCTCGATGTAGTCAATGGCGGGACGGTTCCAGCTCCAGTCCTGCTCCATCACCCGGCGCTGCAGCCCCTGGAACCAGGCCCGGTCGTTGTACCAGGCGTCGATGGCGCGATTGAGGGCGTAGTCCAGCGCGGGGGCGTCGGTGCCCTGGAGGGGGGAAAGCATAACTAGTGCATCAACGGAGTCCCAATCCCGAATTTCGACTCGTGCAGTGGGCGCAAGGAGGGGGGGGCAGAGGGGGGGAGCATGCGGGAGTGGAGGTTTGGGGGCTGGAGCGGGGACGGAAGGAGGGTAGCCCGTGAACCACCCAGGCCACATTCCACATGCAGCCATGCAAGACGTGCATGCATGCATGGCAACGGTAGAGGGAATACCCAGCACCTCGTCCTCCCTCGTCCCTCCTTCGCTAGTTTCCTCGTTCGCACCCTTCCCTCCCACCCTCACCGTGAATGCAAAGCCGTTGGTGGCATCAATACCGTCCCGCCGCCAGTCCGAGCTGCCGTACAGCTCCCACGCCGCCCGCTCCTTGTCAAAGTCCACGTCAAACACCGTGTCACGCAGGCCGCCCGTGTGCCGTACGATGGGTACGGAGCCGTACCGCATGGCGATCATCTGGGGGGGAAGGGGAAGGGGAGGCGAGTAAAGATGAAGCCATAATGAGTTTCCCTCTTCCTCCTCCAAGTCCCAAAGCCCCCCTCCCTTTTCTTGCCATCCAAACCACCACCCAAAAACACAAAACAATTACACATCAAGGTGTCAATAAACGTTACACACGCAGCTTAGAAGAACTAACTAGCACAGAAGCACACCCACCCCCACGGCTCAGTTTAACAGTTTAACCCAAGTATCTAGCCACCCACCCCACCCACCTGCGTAAGTCCGCAGGGCTCAAACATGGACGGCACCACCACCATATCCGCGGCCGCGTAGATCAGGTGACTCAGCGGCTCGTCGTACTTGAAGCAAAACGCCGCGTCCTGCCCGCCCATCTGCCCCGCCAGCGCGTCGAAGTCGGCTTGGACCCGTGGGTCGGGCGCCGACCCCAGCAGCACGAACTGCCCGCCCCGGTCCAGCGTGCGGAAGGCTGCGTGTTTGATGAGCGGGACGCCCTTCTGTCCTGTGAGTCGGGACACCACGGCCACGATGAACTTGTCGTTCCAGGTGGTGAGGCCCAGACGCTGGCGGAGAGCCTGGCAGGGGAAGGGAGGGGAGGGTTGGGAATAAATCAACGAGGCAGAAGGGGGCGGAGAGGGAGGCGGAGAGGGAGGTGTAGAGCTGTATGTGTAAAGAAACTACGAGGGGAAAGGAGGGAAAAGTGGTGGTGGGAAGTGGTTGGACTGCCGCTGTTTCGGCAGCCTCTTTCTCCGCTAATTTGATGTCCGTGTGGCCCCTACCTCTACCTCCGCACCTCCCTCCTCCCTTCCCTCCTCCCTCCCCCCCCCGCCCCCACCTGCCTGCCCGCCTTCCTCCCTCCCTCACCCCTCCCCGACCCCACCTGCCGCGCCGCCTTCTTTCCCTCCACCACGTTCTCCGGTCCGTACCCCTGCGGCAGGAAGGGGTTCTCCTCGGGGCTCCACAGCTCGGGGTCGATGCCGTTGCGAATACCCAGGAACTTGTGCGCGTGGGGCGCGATGACGGGGTTGGCGCCAACCTGAGGGGGAAGCGGTTGGTGGGGCGGTTGGTGAGGTGGAGAGAGCGGGAGAGGGGAAGGGGATAGGGGGGATTCATAGGGATGAAGATTCCGCATTACGCTGGATTTTAGGATTGCTCATTGCCAAATTTGTCGGGTTAGTAGCAGCACACAAAGTACAAACCGTAATAAAGGGGGGAAGGGAAAGCATGAGGCGTAGAGGTCGGTTGGTATGGCATGGCGAACCGCGACGAAAGGGGACTGGTGGTTGGAGGAGCGGAGAGCGGGCAGAGGGCTAGGGCAGCTGGGCGCTGTGCAGGACATCAGGGGAAGCGCCACCTGAGACAGAGGGGAAGCCATCCCCTGCTGGCACTACACCACACGCGGAAACACCCCACACCCTGCCACGCCTTCCTCCGTTGGCAAGGGAAACGCTGGCAAAGGTGCCCTCACCTCGAATGCGTAGGTGGGTGACACGGTTGTGAACTTCTGGCAGGCGTGTGCCGCCTCCCCGATCTTCTTCTGGCCGTAGTTCAGGTTGTGGATGGTGAACACCACGCGCGGCTTGTGCAGGCCTGTTGCGGATGGGGGGAGGGGCCGGAGGTGGAAGGGAAGGGGGTGCGGTCGTCAGGATGACGGGTTAGGAAACTGGCCGCGAATAGGAACGCACTAGGTTGTCGGTGGATTGTAGGTGATGAGGATGGTCGATATGATAGGGTGCTGTGTGCATCACAACAGCCCCCCCATGCAGCATGTGAGGGGTGCTACGCGGGATGGGTCAGGGTCTGGTGGCCACAGGGTGGCACGCAAAACCGCACCCAGCCGATCCCCCCCTCCCGACCCGCTTCACTTCCGTGCTTCAACCGTCATTCATGTTCACTCCCCCCTTCTCCTCCCGGCGTTTCCCCCTCCCGCTCCCGCGCACCATAAGGGTGGTAGTCGCGCCAGTAGGCCGCCGCCACGTGTGCGGTGCTCCAGTCGTGGCAGTGCAGGATGTCGGGTTGGCGACCCGTCTTGAGAAGGAACTCCAGAGCCGCCTTGCAGAAGAAGTCGAACCGCACCTCGTCATCGTACCTGAGAGGGGGGTGGGGCGGGGGCGGGGGAGAGTTCAGAGAGAAACCAGGGAGCAGGGGATGAGGACTCGTCCCAACAGCAACGCAGCACTCGACGTGACTCAAGAGACGGCTATACACACCCCTTCCACACCTCCTCCCCCACCCGTGTTGACCAGCACCAGCCTCCGCCCCGCCCCTCCTCCCATCCACCCCTTCCCTCCGCTACCCCACATAGCCCACATACCGGTAACCCCTTCTGCCCCTCACCTCCGTCTCCACCCTTCACCCCACCCCCCAGCCCCACCTGCCATACACAGTGGGCGTTGCAAAGAACCCATTCCTCGGCTCAATGAAGAACACCCGCAGGTTCTCCACCACCGCCGTGGTCACGTACACGCGCGTGCCTCCCCACTCGAACTCCGTCTCGAAGCGCAGCTGGTCCTTGAGGACGGGCGAGTGCGTGAAGAAGTCGTACCGCGGCAGCACCACCTCCACCAGATGCCCTTGTTCTTGTACGGCTCGACCCAGCGCGGTGACAACATCGCCCAGACCGCCCACCTGGGGGGAGGAGGTGGGAGGGGGGAGGCGTCAAAGGCTATACCAAAACATAGGCAACCAAGAAGTAGGGAGCACAATGATGGAAAGATGCGCGGGTGAAGCCGAGGAGCGAGAGGGGGAGGACGGGGGTGGGAGGGAGAGGAACGGGGAACGGGTTGTGGGTTGAGGGGCTAGGGGGGTTAACTACCCGTAAGCCCGTCTGAGTGTTGCCCTGGAGATCCGTAATCTGACGCCGCATGATTACGGAGTGCACTGCAGCGCCTTCGCCCTGCCTCCCCTCCCCACCTTTGGTTCGGGTGCGTACTTCTCGAGGCTTAGCTTACCTACTCCCCTCCCCCCACCTTTGCAATGGGCGCCATCTCCCCCCCTCCCCCCACCTTTGCAATGGGCGCCATCTCCCCCCCTCCCCCCACCTTTGCAATGGGCGCCATCTCCCCCCCTCCCCCCACCTTTGCGATGGGCGCCATCTCCCCCCCTCCCCCCACCTTTGCAATGGGCGCCATCTCCCCCCCTCCCCCCACCTTTGCAATGGGCGCCATCTCCCCCCCTCCCCCCACCTTTGCAATGGGCGCCATCTCCCCCCCTCCCCCCACCTTTGCAATGGGCGCCATCTCCCCCCCTCCCCCCACCTTTGCAATGGGCGCCATCTCCCCCCCTCCCCCCATACCTTTGCAATGGGCGCCATCTCCACCGCGATGTGGCAGATGTGCAGCGGCTGCTCACGAATGGGGCTGCCCTCCACCGGCAGGTGGTAGTCGAAGCCGCCCCGGTTGTCGTACACCCCCTCCCCGCCGGGCACGTCGGCGAACACAAAGTCCATCTTGAAGGCGTCCTTGGGCACCTGCACCGTGGCCTGGGGGGCGAGGGGAGGAGGGGGGAGGGGAGGGGGAGGAGGGAAATAAGGGCAAGAAAAACGGTACAGAGCCAAGCTAGACGTTTCAGCTAAGTGCACATGCCAGCGGATGGGAAACACATGCAGACATGCTACACACGCACCATGCGCCGCACTCCGCCAATACCCTCTCCCCTCACCTCCACTTCAACACAATGGGGATTATTCTTCAGCCCCCTCCTCACTCCCCCTCACCTGCCAGTGCTCCCCGCCCTCCCCCGGCGGGTGCATGGCAATGGGTCCGAAGCTCCTGCGGTGGCTCCACCGGTTCCACCCGCCCATCAGATACAGCTGCTGCCGGCCCGCCAGCGGCGTGTCTCGGGGGCAGTAGTGCACCGTCACCTCGCCGCCCGCGGGCACCACCTCGGGCTGCGTGAACAGCACGTGGCGCACCTTGCGCCGCTCCACAGCCTTGACGAGCTCCTGGGGGGGGGAGAGGGGGAGGGGAGGGAGGGAGTGGGGGAGGGGAAGGGAAAGGAAGGATAATCAATGTGTTGATTGACAATGGCAAACGAGGAAGAGAGGCAGGTACGGGGAGGGAAGGGAGAAGAAAGGAGAAGACTGCGTTGGTACTGATGGAGGAGAAAGGTGTGGGAGAGGAGAGACCCGTGGAAAGGGGCTGGAGCAGCAGGTGGGTAAGTGGAATCAGTATTCAATGTCCCTGCCCCCCTCACCTCCCTCCAACCACCACCTCCCCTCCCCACCTGCGCCCGCCTCTTCTTCTCCTCCGCCCTGCGCTCCCGCTCCTCCGCCGCCCGCGCTGCCTCGCTCCTCCGCGCCACCTCCCGCTGCCGCAGCGCCTCCGCCAGCCCCGCCTGCCATGCGTCCAGGGAGGGGGCGCTGGCGGGCAGGAACAGCGGGGCCTTGAAGTCCGCCCCGCCGTTGTTGTCCTGAGGGGGCGGGGGAGGGAAGGAGGAAGGATGTGTGGAAAAGAGGAGAAATGTGAAGCGAAGAAGGGAACAAGAAAAATCGGACTGACTATGTTGGGGCCAATTTGTGCTGGTCGAAGTGGAGGAGGCATTCAGGGCGGGCAGGGCAAAGCAGGGAAGCCTGTAGTGGCAACATTCCTCCCTCCTCATTTCTCTCCTCGTCCTGTGCTACCCGCATGTGACCCATGGGTCACCCAGCCCTCTTTTGCCCCCAGCCCCCTCCCACTCACATAGTGCTCATAGTAGTTGATGACAAAGTTCATCGCCACCGCCTCGTAGGGCACCTCCACCTCACACTCAAACCAATCCACATCCGCCTCCTCCACCTTCCCTGCAGCCCCCGCTGCAGCTGCCCCCGAGGCAGCAACCGCCGCCTCCCCCACCGCCCCCTCCACACGGGTCATCATCGCCCTCCCGCCCCCAGCCGGCACATCCCGCCAGCCGTTGAAGCCGTACAGCAGCGTCAACGTCTGACCCGCGGGAACCGGGAAGCGACCCATGGGTCCGGCCTTCCGGTTGTACTGCAGCAGCAGTCGCTCGCCGGCACGAGGAGGGGCCGGCGGGCCGGCTGCTGATGCTGATGGTGCTGCGGTTGTAGCAGTTGCCGTACTGCCACTACTGCTGCTGCCACTGCTACCACCACTCGAGGTGAGTGACAGCACCCGGAATACGGTGGCTCCGGTGTCGGGCCGGGTGAGGCGGGTGGTGGCACCGGACTGTAGGGTGGTCAGGTTGGCTCGGAGCTCTGATACGGGGGGTGGGGTGGGGATTGAGGTGGGGGAGGGATGGGTCGACAGATGGGGCGAGAGGGAAGGGAGGCGCGGGAGGCCATGCAGGAACGAGACAAGGGCAACGCAACCGGCACTCCTGCTGTCCTTGCTTCCCCCAGTGTTCACCTTTGCCTACCCAGCCCCGTACACCCAGCCCCCACCCTGCCCCCCGCCCCACCCTCCGCCTGGCGCCGCCCCCACTCCTCCGCCTCCGCCAGCATGGTCTGGTGCGCCCGAACACGCGCCTCCTCAGCAGCCCGGGCCTCGGCCTCCTGGGGGGGTGAGGAGAAGGAGGGGAGGGGTGAGGGGAAGGGGAGGAGTCAGAAGGCGGTGCCAAGGTGAGATCCTATTGTGAAGAGCTTAGAACTTAGACAAGGTAGGCGCCAATCTCCCCCTCCCCCCCAGTATGGTCAGGGTCAGTGTTTCCGCAGCTCAGTTTACCTAATCCCCCAGTATGGTATGGTCTTTGACCCCCCCCCCCACCCTGCGCGCCAGCTCCCGCGCCACTGCCCGCTCCGCGGCGCTGTCCACCCACGCCTCGTATGTCAGCCCCCCCGCCGCGGGGAAGGTGAAGTCCAGCCCGCTGTTGTTCTCGTACGCCCCCGCACCGTCGTGCAGGATGAAGTTGACCTCGTAGGAGTCGGGCGGGACCTGGGGGGGGTAATGGGAGGGGTCATGAGAAGGGTAATGGGAGGGGTAACCAGAGGAGTAACGAGCGCACGGAGCTATACACACCCGAACGCTAGCAATACACAGTCGCTCTGCAGCAGTGACCTACGATCCCCGTGACTGCTGACCCAAGAAGTAGGCCCCCGCCCGCCTGCCCGCCTCCCCCTCCCCTTCATTTCCTCCCCCCCTCATCCACCGCACCTGCACCGTCGCCCCCCAGAAGTCCACTCCCTCGCCCCGGGGCACCCCCTCCACCGGAGCCAGCTGCGCGGGGGAAGCGGAGGCGGAGGGCTCCGAGGCGGGGGGCTGCAGCTCCCAGTGGTTGAATCCGTACTGCAACAGGATGTGAGGGCGCTGCCTGGGGGGGGAGGGGGAGGGGAGGGGAGAGGAGGGAGGGGGAAATGCAAAACACACACATACACAGCTGTTACAACCCTCCAAAAGCACCGGAGAGCCCCTAGTGGGCACGCACCCCATTTTGCTAACCCCACCATGGCAATACACACACGCATGCACGTTTCCAACCATCCATCCATGTGCCAGCCTGTGCCCCCGGCCGCCCCCCCAGCCCCTTACGCATTGGGTATTCTCCTTTCTTCCCCACTAACCCCCTCCCCCCACCTCAGCTTCTCGCTCTGCTGCCGGTTGAACAGCACCCGCAGCGGTGCCCCAGCCACCGGCTGCTCCGGAACCGTGATCACCATCCAGTGCTCCCGACCCGCCACCACCGACCCAGGGGTCACCTCACTGGCGGCCACGGCGGCGGCTGCGGCTGCGCGCAGCGCCGCACGCTCCTTCTCCTGCTGCTCCTGCTCCGCCTGCTGCTGCTGCTGGGGCACCTCAGGTACTGCTGCACTTGCTGCTGCTGAGGAGGAGGAGGAGGAGGAAGGTGTGGCGGTGGTTTCAGCTGCGGCGGCTGAGTGGCTTTGCCCCTGCTGCTGTCCCTGCTGGGGGGGCTGTTGCGGCTGCTCCCTTGCGTCCAGCAGTGCTGCCTGCGCGGTGTTGGTGGTGCGGCCGGGGGTGCGGCGCAGGGAGAGGGCGGGCGGAGGAGGCTCGAATCGGCCGGCGGAGGGGGGGCGAGGAGGCGAGGGGGCGGGGGCGTGCGAGGGGGAGTGAGGGGGGCCTGTCACCTGCCAGTGACCGACATGGTTGCAGGTGCAGGGGAGGGGGTTGGCAGGGGAGGGGGTTGAGATCAGGGTCAGCCTCAAGCGCAAGGACATCATCCCAGGACTGCACTGCAAAGGAAAGGGCCGCCAGCCATCACCCCCTTTACCTCCCCGCCCCCTGCCCTCAGACCCTTCCTCCCCCCAGCCTCACGGTTGTTTCCACCAGGGCTTGTCAGCTACATGTACCACTAACACGCCACACATTTTCCCCCAGCCTCCTCGTCCCCAGCCCCCACCTGGTCCAGCAGTCCCCCGCTCAGGTGGTCTGCAGCCGTCTGCACCTCCAGACCCCCAACACCCCCCGCAGCATGCAGGCCACCGGCCTCATGCCCCGCCTCGTGCGCCTCCAATCCCTCCAGCTCCACGGACAGGGTGGCCATCTCCAGCGCGTAGTCGCGGGAGCTCACCCCGTTGCTGCTGCTGGTGGTGATGGGGGTGGAGGTGGAGGTGGAGGAAGTGGGGGAGGTGGGGGAGGTGGGGGTGGAGGAGGAGGTGGAGGAGGAGGTGGGGGCGGTGGGCGGCTCGGCAAGCATGACGGAAGTGCTCCTGGGGGTGGGGAAGCGGCGGGGCGGGGCGGGGACAGGGAGGTTGGGCGGGGCGGGGTTACCTTGATGGATCCAATGACCATGGTACGAGTGGCACGGGCAGGCTAACAGAATCACGGCCCCGGCCAGTTTTCCTTCCCCGCTCCTCTCCTCCTCCCCCTCACCTGCTGCCGGTGCTGCTTGGGTTGCTCCCCACAGCACTCGCTTGAGCCTTGATGCCGCTACCGCCGCTGCTGCTGTTGCTGCTGCTGCCGGTGGCGCTGCTGCCGGTCCTCTTGCTGCTGCTACCGGTGTTGCCTGCCTTGCTGCTGCTGGTGCTGGTGCTGGCGCTGGTGCTGGCGCTGGTGCTGGCGCTGGTGCCCCCAGCGGTAGCAGCGGAGCCGGTGCTCTTGGACGTGCTGCCACTGCCGCTGCCGCTACTGCCACCGATGCCACCGATGCCAGTTTGAGAGGTGGAGTAGGGGGCGGAGGGCGGGCCGGGTAGCTGCTGGTTTGGAAGCGGAGGGGGGGGAGAGTAAAAGGGGAAAAGACAGGGGGAAGGGTGAGTGCTGTGGGGGGCGCATGTGAGGGGGGCGATGCGCGGCAACTAGCCCGGTGAAACCCCACCTGTGCCCCCAGCCGTCCGCCCCAGTCGCCCACTGTCAGCCCCGCCGCCTCCGCCTGCTGCGCCAGCTTGTCGTACTCGGACGTGAGGCGCGAGAGCTGCTGCGGGGAGAGGCGGGGGGTGCTGGACACCACCACCTGGAGGGAGGGGGTAAAAGGGGGAGGAAAGCGAGGCAGATGAGGGGGGAGGAGAAGGGGGAATGGGCGCAAAGTAAGGGGGCTCGGTGCGTTAAGAAAACGGAGCAGGCACGAGTCGGGACGTACATTGCCAAAAGATGAAGCGGGAGGGGAAAATATAAAGATAAGTGAGGGAGGGTAGCGAGGTAGTAATTGCGAGCAACTCCCCCCCATCCACCTGCCGTAGCTTGTTGTTCTCCTCAAGCAGGCGCCGCAGCTCCGATTGCTCCTCGGGGGACATGTATGACTCGGCCTGAGAGGGGGGAAGGGGGGGAGGAGGAGCTTGGAGGGGGATGGAAATGCGGTTGGAGGGGTGGTGGTAGAGGGTGGCAGTTGAAGGGGCATATAGGGAGGCGTGTAAGCCATGGCATGCAGGACGGGAGGTGGGGAATGTGAAGGGTGGCGGAGGCCGTGGTGAGGGCAGGTAGGAATGGGAGGAGGTAACGCAGGGGGCCGCTCGGCGGACAGTGGTAATGGAGTTGGAAAGCAGGGGTTGGGGGAAAAGGACGAGGGAAGAGGTCAACGCAGCAGCTGAGGCGAGCGCAAAAGCGTCTACATATATGCAGAATGCAGAAATCAAAAGCGGAGAGTCACGCGCTATAAAGCCTTTGGGCTGGACAGTTTGCAGAGGCACGTGCTCTACAGGGCAAGCTGTCGCGTCAAGAGACTAACGCCAAAGTAGGTAGTTACAAATCTACATGAAATTAGGTTTCAAGAGTGTCGCCCTCAACTTTGCTTAGTGCTTGCTCTTGGGACCTTCGATGCGACTCGACGGTACGCAACACCCGACTGAAACAAACGACCCCTTTCTGCATTAAAACGTAAACTTGCCTCTTTCAGGAGCTCAACGTCCTCCTTGCGCAGCGCCTTTGTGCCCATCGCAGGGGATGAACGAGGTCTAATTGATCCCCGGGTGTGAAAAGGCCCGTCCGCCCCTGAAGCCACAATGGCAGCGACCATGGTAAGTGTTCAACCGAAAGAGCTGATGGGATGTTGACGATGCAACCAAGGACGCAAAAATCTTGTTCCGACCTAACGGACTGTCGCGCTTACCCTTCCGAACAATGCGTGGGGACGCGATGCCACCAGCCCCTCCGATGCGCCCCACAGCAGCCGCCATGGCGACGTGCGCTGCCTTCGAGGGGCCGGGCGTGGAAAGTCTAGTACACGACGAGGGTTCCCAATGCCTTTGTCCAACTGGGCAACGCCCAGACCAGAGATATAGCTTTCTATTCACGTCAAGTTAAGAGCAGATAGTGTCTCAGATCTGTGCCCAAACGATGCAAGACAACCAAACTATCCCCACCGTCCGCAACGGTCGTACGCACCAGCCCAATCGGGCAAGGTAGCAAATCGTCTTCCGCAATGGGCCCCTTATATGATCACCGTCTCGACCTCCTACAGTTGCATGCACTAACAGGTGGCCCATATAAGTTGCCTGCAGAACACCGCAATGGAACGTTGACGCCTGAAAAGGTTGACGCGCTGAGTTACTAGGCCGGAGGGATATTACATATGACTTTGAAACCCTTCCAAAAATGGACGTTATCCAAGCAGACAATCATGTTGCTGCCAGTCAAGATAGGTTGCCGGAAATTCCTGTCACTGACCAACATCAAGCAGGAGATAGTATGCCATTCATTAAACAAGAAGTCAACCAACAGTTTGTGACAAAGCCACTTGGCGTTGATGTCGACGACGATGACGATGAGCCTACTTCAATGGACGGGGACGCTGACGACAGCATGGCAGAGGACGAAGACGAGCTGGACTTGAACATGGTCCGTCAGGAAGCCCTGTCGATATGTCAGGCGCGCGAGCTCGCCAAAGCATGCGCACGGCTGTCAGGTCCATGGATTGCTCCGGCAGTGGAGAAAGCTGCAGAGCGGCTGGCACGACGTAAGTGCGCACGACCACAGCTCGCACAGATGCCAAAGGCGACCCGCTCCGGCAGCAAGGCTACGCCTTAATCCCCCTGACCCACATCACGAATGTCGCCCTTCTCTGCCTCTACATGGACCCACCCCGCACCCGCCCCTACATACCGGCACCCCAACGGCTCCCCTCGCCCCCTCCTCCCTGCTGTCGCCCTCCTCCGGCCTCCTCCCTGCTTACCGCCACCCCAACGGCTGCATGCAGGCTTCGCGCGGCTGCCCGGGGGCCCCTCGGAACCCGCGCCGCTGACCCCCCTGGAGGCGGCTGCCCTGCAGGCCACACTCAAGGTAGCAGCGGGTGTGGATGTGCGGGGGGGGGACGTGCTGGGGCACCGGGCGCATCTGGGAGGGAAGCTGGGCCGGCAGGGAGCTAGGGAGACGGATGGGCCGCCTAGACAGCATGGAGCGTGTAGCCCTACTGTTCCCCCTCTCCCTCCCCCCTCCCTTCCCCCCACCCCGCCAGGAGCTGGGTACCGCCACCGCCTTCCCGCACGCCGGCGAGCCCACTCAGGAGGGCGTGGCGGCGGTGGAGCGGCTGGCGCAGCAGGCCTTCGCGGGTATGGACCTGAGCAACCCCCCCGCTGCTGCTGCTGGCGGCGGCGGTAGTGCAGTGCCGGGAGCAGGAGGAGCAGGAGCTGGGAGCGGCATGGAGGGGGCGGCAGGGGGGTTAGCCGGTGGCGGCAGCAGCGGGGAGGGCGGTCCCTGGCCGGCCCCGGAGGCGATCGCGGCCGCCGCGGCGGCTGCTGGGTTGCCGGTGGTGGGCGGTTGGGGCGGCGAGGAGGGCAGCGGGGAGGAGGAGGGCATTACAACGGAGCTGCTGGTGCGGGCGGGGCCGGACAGGGTGAGTGGGGAGGGGGGGGATGGGCAAGGGTGAGTGCGGCGGAAAGGGGCTCCTGAGTGGCGCACCCGTGACACATGTAGGGTGGGAGGTGGAAGATGACGTGTGGAAACTGGCCACGAGGAGGGAAAGAGCCTGATACGCCTCCTAGAGGACTGCACGATGGGGCTGCACTGCGCTGCACCCCCTCTCCCTCCCCCGCCCCCTTCCTCATCACAACACCATCACCGCATGCATGCGCGCATCCCAACCGCATGCACCCGCGCACCCCCCCCCCAGGTGGCTGCTCTGGTGTCAGCGCTGGTGTGCCTGCTGCGCCGCTGCCTGCGCCCCTGCAACTGCTTCGCCGCGCTGCTGCTGGGCCGCTGGCTGGGGTGCGGCGAGCTGGCGGAGGCGGGCAGCCTGGCGGCACTGGCCAACTGGAGCGGGGCGGTGGCGGCGGACCGGCGGCACTTCCTGCTGCTGGATGAGGGGACGCTGCTGGGGCTGACTGCCAACTCGCAGCTGCAGGTGAGGCGGAAAGGAAGGGGGAAAGCAGAGCTCCCAATGCGTTGAATGAGGTTACAAAGCAGACGAGAAGGGGGCTCGGGAGACATTGGGGGGCGGGAGTAGGGGGGACAGGGAGGGGGGAGAGGAAGAGGAATGGCGAACCTGCATGCGGGTTACGGCTGCAGGGCAAAATGCGGTCACCAGGCGCCAGTGCACAAGACCTCTCCATTCCCTCCCTCCCTCTCCCTCTTCCTCTTGTTCACCCTCCCCCCACCCCCCAGGTGACCCAGGAGCTGGACGTGTGGCACGCCATCGCGGACTGGGTCAGCCACTGCCCCGCCCTGCGCCGCCCCCACCTGCCCGACCTGCTGCGAGCTGGTGTGCGGCTGTCGCAGCTAGACACCCTGCAGCTGAGTCAGCTACAACGGCACCCACTACTGGCGGAGCCGGGGCCGGCGGCGGCGGTGGTGAGTGCGGCTTACACGGCGCGCATCTTCAGCAACGTGCACCGGAGCCAGAGCCGGGCGGCGGCGCGGGGGGGAAGTAGTGGGGGCGGGGGAGGAGGAGGGGGAGGGGGATGGAGTGTGGGGGGTGGAGGGCAGGGGCAGCTAGGGGGGCAGGGGCAGGGAGGAGGAGGAGTGCATGGAGGAGGGCAGGGGCAAGGGCAGCAGATAGGAGGGCAGCAAGGGGGGCAGCAGGGGCAGCAGAAGTCGAGCTCCCAAGCGGCGTTGCAGCGGCTGATTGGCAGCTTGCAGGCCAAGGCAGCTGCGGCCAGGGCGAAACAACAACAACAGCAGCAACAACAACAGCAGCAACAACGGCAGGTTTCCAATCATCAGCAGCACCACTTGCAGCAGCAACAGCACCACCTACATCTCCAGCATCCAGAGCTGCACCAGCAGCAACAGCAGACTCAGCTCCAGCGCCGCTCACCTCAGCCGCCGCCCGTCCTGCATCACTCCCCCTCTCCCTCTCCGCCTCCGCAGCTACAGCCCTACCTGCACCCGGGACCCCTCCCGCACTTCCCGCAAGCCCAGGGCTATCCACAGCCCATGCACCTCCACCACCCCCAGCTGCAGCAACACCCCCAGCAGCAACACCCCCAGCTGCAGCAGCACCAGCCGCCCCTGCTCAGCGCCCCCCGGCCGGTCATGGCGGCCGCCTCCTCGCCGCCTCCCTCCTCCCGAAGTCCACAGCCGGGGGAGCTGCGGGCCTCCTCCGCCTCGCCCCCTGCTGCCGGGAAGACGCCGCCGCCGCATGGGGAGCAGTCGGTAGGAGGCGCGCCAGGGGGGCCCGCAGGAGGAGGGGGGAGAGACGGCGGACTGGCAGGAGCCAACGCCGCTAACGGGAGTCCCAATTCCGGTGGTAGCGGCGGCGGCGGCGGCAAGCCGTTAGCTTCCGTGCTAGCCGCAGCCATCGTCAAGGCCGCAGCCAAACAGGGGCTGTCGCGCATCCACGTGGGCGAGGGCGGGCAGGTGACCCCCGGGGCGGTGCAGGCGGCTCTGAGTGCCGCGCAAAAGCAGATGGCGTCCAACCCGCAGCTGCAGGAGTTGCTGCGGGAGGCCAAGATGCAGATGGCGCAGGCCAAGCAAGCGGAGGCGGCAGCAGCGGCGGCAGCGGGAGGACAGCAGCAACCGCAGGGCTCTGGAGAGCTGCCTGCTGCCCCACCGCTGGTGCTGCGGCCACAGCAGCCACAGCAGCAGCAGCAGGGCCTTCGTTCCGGCAGCAGCAGTCCCACCGCCCTGCCCAACCTGGGCGGCTCCTGCAGCCCCCCTCCCGCTGAGCTGCTGCGGCTGCTCCGACCCTCCGCCTCGCCCTCCCCGGGCCGCACCAGCCCCGGCCTTACCTCACTACTCGCAGCCTCCTCCTCCCAACAACAACAGCACCCGCAGCAGCAGCCCCCGCAGCAGGCTCAGGGCGGGGAGCCCGGCCGGCCGGCTCAGGTGTTGGCGCTGGCGCCGCAGCAGCTGCTGCAGATTGCTGCGGCGGTGCAGCAGGCTGCACGAAGCGGGCAGCCGCAGCCGCCGCATGTACGGCAGCAGCTGACGCAGCTGCGCGCCTTCATCTCGCGCCACCTAGCCGCTAGCCCGCCGGGCTCGCAGCAGCTGCAGCTGCTGACGGCGTTGCAGAGCATGCTGGCAGGGGTGGGGCAGTCAGAGGAGGAGGGGGGCATGCAGGGACAGCAGCAGGGGCAGCAGCAGCAGCCCGGGCAACAACACCCTCAACTCCCCCAGCAGCAGCAGCAGTCGTCCGCGATGGAGGTGGATCGGGGCGTGGTTCAGTTGCAGCAAGGGGATCAGGGCGGGCAGCAGGGGGAGGAGATGGCGGCGGCGAGGAGTAGCGAGGGCGGTGGCGGTGGGGTTGGGTGTGGTGCTGGTGGAGGGGGTAGCGGAGGGAGCGGTGGGGGAGTGGCAGCATGCACGCAGGGGCAGGAGCATGAGCAGCCGTCCGGGGGCGTGTGGGAGGTGGGTGAGGAACCGGAAGCTAAGCGTGCGCGGCAGCACTAGCACTTGTTGCTGCATGGCGTTGACTTGGGTAGCGTTGGGTTGGGTAGGTCGTCAAGTGGGGGGCACTGCGGGTGCCTTGCGGTGTGCAGTGCCGGTATGCCCTGCGGGGGAGGAGTTGTGGTCGAGTCGGCGCTACGATGGGTTGGAAAAAGGCCAAAGGCGTTGGCTTGACACACTGCGACAATCCAGATCGCAGTGACGAATGCGTGCTGCGTTGCGTTGCTACTAGGTGGTTCAAGGCTGTACATGGTTACGCCCGTTTGGGCACGATTGTAACTGCTGTGTACAGTGCATTTCGATGGTTATGAAGGAAAAGAGTCTACGGTGTGGTAGACACGTCATACAAGGCCGCTGGGTGCTGCTGTGGGTTTGCTGACCGCGGGGCAGCAAGTTCGGTCCGCGCTCCAGCGGCGGGAAGGCGACACTGTTGAAATGTAGCTCCCTTCTTCCAAAAGGAGTTCACAAACACTAGCCTGTGGTGGAGCAAGGCTTGCTTGTGTGTACACCAGGAGCCATTCCCGCGGCCGAGCTGTACACGCCATGCCCGCTTGCATGCGGCCGAATGCCACAGTCCGATCACTGCAGCTCCCTGTACTGCCTTGCAGGGTTGCAATCTTGCAAAGCAACCCATCAGCCATCCCGGCCCTACTATCTGTTCCTCCTGCCAGAAAACCGGAGCCGGCCAGTAACCTACTACTAGTGCCTCATATACTAAAGGGATCCAAACACAAGCGGCAGTCGAAATGATGATACACAACACTGACGTACACGGCGCCGACAAAATGCCGGACATGCGGACTGACCGCCTCATTCCATCAAGCTGCGTGCTGCGCGCCCTTCTACCTTTCCCTGCCATCCGCTTGTCCACATCGGCGAGTCAAAACAAAGACGAAACGTGGGTTACCAGTCGAACAAACAGTAGCCAAAACCAAGAGTACAAACCATGAACATCACTTTAGGCAGTACGCCTGTGCAATAACACCCGCACCCCCAAGGGCTGTCAACGTGCGCATGTAACGTGCGAGGGACCTACCGTACAATGCGCCCCGAGCAGCACAGCCTCTGAAACTACCCACCTTGCAGTTCTCCCAACCCGCGCACCACCGCTCTGATGCAAGGCCACTGCCCGTCCCTCCTAACCAACCCCGGCACGCGGCATGCTCTCCCAATCCCGCCTGGGGCTGCACCGAGCGTCAGCGATTCCTCAACCCTGACCCCCGAACCGCTATCCACCCGTCGGCGTCGGCATGCACCCAAGCATGCCACTCTCCACCAACCAACCAACCCCAATGCAACTCCCACTCCTCCAGGGGGCTATACCCTCCCCAAGATCCCCCTACCGCCCTTCCCCCACCGGTGGCGCCAGCAAGCAGTACGGCGTCCCCGCACACAGCCCCGCATTCAGCAGCGCCGCCGCCGCACTCACCGCCAGCCCCACCCCCACCCCCAGCTGCACCTTCCGCGGCTTGTAGTGCGCCGCAGCCGGCCACAGGTAGCCCACCGACGCCAGCAGCAGCCCGCCGGCAGCAAAGGCCTGCAGCTTGTCCGCCCAGTGGCCCGGGTCGAAGGCAATGTCCTCCGAGGGCACCCGCCCGCAGGGCAGCGGCAGCAGCAGCGCCGCCACCGCAGTGGCGCATGCGGCCGCCAGCAGTCCTGCGGTGGCGGCGGGCAGCTGCCAGCCCGGGGAGCCCGCAGCGGCGCGAGCGATGCCCACACAGGCGGCACCCAGTGCCAGACCTGGTGCGGCGTGGTGGGTGGTGATTGGGGAGGGGTTCGCGGTGAACAGGTGAAGGGCTGAATCGGGGGAGGGCGGTTAAGGACAGTACACACGCAGGAGCTGAAGCATAGGAACTGGCTGACCGTACGACATGTTCCTGAACCAGCCGTTGGAAGCTCAGAGTAACAAGGCCTTACTAACCAGGCTTAAATAGCGTGTCGTGTCCGTGTCCGGGCACCTCCAGGAGCAACACTCTCAGCACCCCCGCCCGCCCCGCACCTCTGAGCACCAGCCCCGGCAGCAGTGCCGACGTGTCCCCCAGGTGCCGCAGCAGCGCCCCCGCCAGCTCGTAGCCCCCCGGCACCGCGGCCGCCAGCAGCAGCATGGCGCCCGTGAGCAGCGCCGCGCGCACGCAGTCGCGCGGGCGGTCCATGGCGGGTAGGAGGTCCATGGGCGCACCCCAGCAGCAGGCGTCCGAGGGGGGCTGGAGGGGCGAGGACAGGGGATGAGAGGGGGAGAACAGCGTTGGAGGAGGAACACACGGAGGTGACCAAGTGGCCCGGTATGTTAAGAGACACAGCCCACCAAGCAGGCATCTTTGCCCGGCTTCCCACCAACTCCCCAACACAAGATTAGCAGAGCCACCTACCCAATGCGCCGCCCTCCTACCTTGGCCTCACAGCACTCCTTGCAGCTGCAATTCCCCTGGCAGTGCATGCCGGGCCCCTGCTGCTGCTGCTGCAGCTGTAGCGCCTTGCCGCCGCCCTCCAGCGGACCCGCCCCAAAGCCCTCTCCCCCAGCGTGCGCATGCAGCTGGTGCTGCGCCGGCGCCAGACTGTACCCGCTCCGCCGCTCCAGCCCCTGCCCGCTACCCTGCCCGCCGCCCCCGCCCCGCACCCCTCCTATCGCCACACTTGTCGCATGGACGCTTGTCGACCCCGGCCCCCAGCCGCCGTTCCCTGCATGGGAGCCCCCGCACATGGCAGCACCCTGCTGCTGCTGCTGCTCCAAGCTACTCCGGTGCGACTGGTACTGCTGCTGCTGCTGACCGCTGCCGTACTCTGACAGACCATTCTCCACCTGCAGAGGGTCCCGCGGGCTGCCCTCACTGCTCCCCGACGCACTGCGTCCGCCGCCCACACTCCCTCCTCCCGCCCCAGCCGCGCCTCCAAGCGCCCCCAGCCCGCGCCACAGCCCCGCACATGTCGCCGCGCCCGCCGCGGCCCACATCACCGCCGCGTGCTTCTCCATGCGCTGCCGCACCAGCAGTCCTATCAGCCCTGCTAGGCCCGTCCAGGCGCCCACGCCCGTCGTCACGCCCATGGCTACCGGCAGCGAGGGCAGCAGCACCGACGCTAGGGCTGCGGCGGCGGGCGGCGCTAGGAAGCCCGGCAGCAGCAGCAGCAGGTCTGGCAGCAGCAGACCCAGATCGGCTGCGATGGGGGAGGCGACGGAGCCGTCCGCGCGCTCCAGCTTGGCGATGACCATGCTGATGCATTGCAGCCTGAGGGTGTAAGGCGGGAGGGAGAGAGGCGGTGAGAGTTTATGTGAGGCGGGATGGAAAGCATGCCGGGAACGGAAGGAGCGAAGGCGGGCCGCGTGTTCGGACGTCCTACGGGCACCTTGCCTGCAGGATCATGAGAGACGGCAATGAGCGTCCGCATGTACTTGCTACGGCAGCAAAACCCAAGAGCGAGCCTGATCGCCTCCTCCCATCCCACACACTTACGCAGCGGCCGACAGCGTGGCTGCAGTGGCCACATGTCCATGCTCCGCCGTCTCCAGCGCGTCCGGGATCAGCTCCGCAAACACGATCCAAATCATGCAGCCCGCCGCAAAGCCCAGTGCAATGGGCAGCAGCCCGCTAAACGTCTCCACAAACACGTACGACGGAACCGCAACGATTCCCTGCGGCAACGCGCTTAGCAGCGTCCAGTACAGTGCCGTACGCGGCGGCGTGCCGCGAGCAACCATGATGGTCGCCACCGCCATGCCTTCGGGGATGTTGTGAAGTCCGATGGCGATGGTGACCAACAGCCCTTGCGCCCAGCCGCGCGGGCCGCTGAAGGACACGCCCACGCCGGAGCCCTCGCCGAACGCGTGCGCTGCCATGACGCCGATGATGAGCATCGCCTTGCGCGCGTCGGCGCCCTGGAGATCGGAGAACGAGACGTCCTCGAAACGGGAGAGCCAGGATTGGCTGTAGGCCATGGCGAGGACGCCGAGGAGGATGCCGCCTAGGACCAGACTGGCGCTGTAGGTCTTGGATTCTTCGAGCAAGTCGAAGCTGGCTGCGAGCATGACGCCGCAGCCCACCGCGTTTGCGATGCCGGACCAGTAGGGGTCGAGCTTGCCGGTGAAGAGGTATGGAAGCGCGCCAACGCCGGAGAGGAGAGCCATGACCATGGTCATGGCGAGGAGCAGCCATAGGGACACGGAGGAGGAGGAGGTGTCGGAGTGTGGGGTGTCTGAGGTGCCGCGGGAGGGGTCCCCATCTTCGTTAGCTGCTGCATTAATGCCACCGTGGGCGCGGATGGCTGGCAGGGGAACATCGGTGGCAATGGTACCATCCGGCGCGCGCGCTAGATCGGTGGCACGCTTTGCTACTGCCTCGTGAAGTCCAGAAGATGCAGAGTGATCGGGACCGACTTCCTGCGTTTAGGACAAGCATGCTAAGGATCGATGCTTGGATTTCGGACCACCGTTGCCTTGTAGCTGTTTAGTATCAGCAAAAGGTTGAGTAAACAGCATAAGAAGGCTGGGCCACATACAACCTCCATTCTCTAGACGTGTGCCCTAGCAGCAGTTTGTCTTCTACAAGGAAGACACGCGTTCGTATGCGTCCCGATGTGCACAAGCTGCTGGTGGTTAGTTACCTGAGATCCTACAATAGGCGCCGCTAATAGAAGTGCCACAAGTAGGAAGCGCCCGGTTTCCATTGCGACGTTGGTCAGCACCACGAAGGCCCTGCCCCGGTCCTTGTCACGCAAAGCGATGTAGGTAGTTGCATTAGCTGTCAAGGTTGACTTCAGCGCGTTATAAGCCTGAAATGTATTTGGACCTGTCCCCCCAACCTGTTGCCACGGCCACGTGCCGCGGCTTTTTGTATGCTGATTAGTATATCCTAATATTCTGTGCTAACTGTCTCTTTAACACGAGCATTTCTCTGTCTACCGTGCAGTTTGTTTGAGCTACAGCGTGGAAGAAGCTCAGCAGCCGTCAGTACATGAACCCGACGGACAGTAGTACACGTCGCGAAGGTGGATAACCCGGACTCCAGGGTACAATATCTTTCAAACAGCGTCCATTCCATGCATCACCGCGGTCAAGAAGTAATAGCAATACAATATACAAGCCCAAGCCCAGCCCGCAGTAAAACATGGTACTTCTGTCGGATTGGTGTGATGGCGCGCATGGCGTAACCATCGCATTGTAATCTTGGGGACCCAAGCGCGCCCTTTCACCATGCAGCAACATACACATACATCCCATGACCTACAGGCAGCCGAGGGAGAACTGGAAGTTGACGGTTGGTCGAATGACGTTGGCGGGTTTCAGTGATAGGTTGTACGGCCATGGGTCATGCAGGCTGTCAGCCTTGGTCGCTCAGCCCTCGGGCTCGGATCGCTTACAACAAGTAACATGCGCTCCCCTGTCTAGGATACCGTGGGATAAAGCTTAGCTGCTTTACAGCTTTTAGCTCCGCTTGCACGCCGAGGAGTTGGATTCGAACTCCCAGCTGTTGACCCGACACCTCCGTAGTCCGTACATTTGTCCGTACAAGGACCCCTCTCTCCCTGTCTGTGACTGATCGCGCAGCGGACATGCCATGCCCCCCGAGGTGAAGCGACGTACGCCCAGCGTACTCTCAAACACATTCGCCATTCCATTCCACAATGACCACATAACGCCAGACAAACACAAAGCCCGTCCACACTTCCATCGCACAGATCACCGTGCCCGCTGACTTGCAAACCATGCCACTATGGACCAACCAACATCTTCACCAAATAGGCGCTCGAGTGAGACACACGACGGCCCATCCCGCACCCAGGCGTTTAGGCATTACTGCATGCAAGCCAGAAACACTGCTGCTGCTGATGAGCGCTGCGGCCGGCACCACCACCGCAGCGCCTCAAAGCCAAGCCACGCCCAACGCCAACTCCACATGCATGGACGGGGAGGAGGGGTGCAAGGGACCCCCACACGCACCAACACATCAGCCCTAGCCCACGGGTACAACACACGAACGCAGCTCAGCGAAGCAGGTCATGGGAAGGGCAACGTCCCACCCCGCAATCGCCTTGCTGGCTGTGTTCACACTGTGCGCATGGAGAGCCAGCTCTAGCCTGATTGGCAGCTCCTCTCCTTGTTGCCCTCGCCTTGCCCAGTCGCATGCACCCCCCCGGCAACCCGCAGTCCGGCCAGCCGCCTGAGCCCTGCACGCCCACCCAAAGCAGGCCCCGTATTGCAACAAAATACGTGAAAAACGAAGAACAAAGCAGGCAGCCCACAACAATGCCACCTCCCACTGCCCGGCAGCTAGACCCGCAGCCAGCAGGGTCAGCGCCATGTTGCGGTTGCAGCGTAACGGCTGACATTGCAACCAGCGTTACTTGGCCACCGCTGGGGCGGCCGCCTGCTGCTGCTGCTGCTGTTGCTGCTGGGGTTGTTGCTGCTGCTGCTGCTCAGCCCCCTGCTGCTGCTGCTGCTGCCCGCGCATCGTTGCTTCCTGTGGATGCAAAGCAGGGGAGCGAACTTGAGAGGTGTGAGGCGCGAACATACCGGTACCGGCACCACCGCAACAGGGCGACATGCGGGGTGCCATGGGTACCTAACCCACGCGATGACAAAAGCATTCTGCTGCCGGAGCGGTTGCGACCAGGTGCGCCTGGCTGCCAAGACAAAGCTGTGAGGGAAAGGCCAGCTGTCCGCCTAACGCAGCATGCGCGAGTCAGGTCATTGCCCCCCCCCCGTCAGTTCATCGCCCTCAGGGAGACCCACCCACCCGCAGCGGCACTCCGAAGATGTACCAGCCCGAGGCGACTCCCAACCTGCGTGGCGGGAGCGGGAACAACAGGGTTGGGGGTGGGGTACGGCAGGGGCTAACGAGGAAGACAGGGGCACGTTAATGGCTCCCGAGTCGGGTGCGGATGCAGGGCAGCGGGCGGGTGGGCAGGTGGTTGGGGGGGGGGGGTACAGAGCAGCGGGAAGCTGCAAAGCGGGGGACTTCCTCCCCGACACGCACCCGATGGCAAACACGGCTTCCGTGAGTCGGCCCATGGGATGGCTGCCTGCTAGCTAGGTGAGTAGTAGCTGTCGGGTGAGCTCCGAGGCGGGGTTGGGGTGGGTGCCCTCGCTGGCAGCGGTGTCTGTGGAACGTCACGTGCACCTGTGACGGGAGCGGCGTGCGGCACAAGGACCAGGGTTAAGGGAGGAGAGGGCTGCCCCGAGGTGCACTGACAGCGGGTGTGTTGGGAGCAAGCAGGCAACCGCCGGACGGACGGAACCCCGCTGTGCTGTGCGGCATAGCGGGTTGTGTTGTGGCTCCAAGAGGGCCCATGACACCCCGAATCATGCGACCTGGCGCGGTGTGCCGGGGGGTTGACATCCCGCTGATGCTCTCCCCTACCTGTCGGCGACGACAAGGCCAGCGAAAGCGCCAAAGCACCTGCACTAGAGTCTTTATTACTAGCTCCGCTAAGAGTTAATACAGTGTAGTGCTACCACAGTTCCGGCGCTTGCCCCAACGACGTAGCAAGTTACGAAGGCGTTGGTTACTTGGAGCAGATATGCACAGGTGAGTAGCTTAAGGGCACATGAGCAAAAGAGGAGAAGGGGCAATCAGTCTATCGTCCACCACTCGACTTTGGCGACCCAATGCCGGACGAATACGGCGATGTACCCGAACTCGGAACTCCGCAAAAGGCAACGCAAGTCTGCTTTTAGTTTTAAGCAATTAAACGTCTATCCCTTAGCCTATCTGTGTGCCAATCTTGAACAGAATCAGTCTTCTCGGGTCTTGCACCACACGCTCGGATATGTGGATTAGCAAAGCGACCTAGACGAGAGCAACATTAACGTGTCTACTCAAATGCTGCAATCTCGAACATGTCGCACTGGTGCCAGCGGGCGTCCGTTTGGTGACAGGCTAAGGCGCAGCGCGTTTGGAGGACGTGGGTTAGCGGTTTGCACACATGCCAGCAGCAGCGACGCCCCTGATTCAAGGTAGATGCACCAATGCTGGTGGAGAACATTTGATCGGCAGGTGGACGAGTCTCCTACCATGGTCATTTTACTTGCATGGCAGGAGCAGCAGGATTTTGCCGATCCCCGACGGACCGGCTCAACAAGCACAACAAGCAGCACAAGCAATTGAGGCTGCCTGGCGCGATGGAGTTCGTCGACAGCGGTTGGAGCTGATGCTACCGCTGATTGGAGCCACAGACCTAGACGACTGGTCAGTACCCCTCCTCTGGTACTTGCCTGAAACCTCTCCCAATAGCAAACATCTTTACCTACTAACTTCGCAGGCCCGGTGGCATTCGGCAACAGTTTAAAGCTGCGCAGCCCATGGTGGAATCCATCCTACGCACAGTCAAGCAGACCGAGGGCTTGCAGGGCCCGCTCGCTGCCAACGTCTGGGACCAGGGGGACGCAGTGGGCGCCTGGACGGGCAAGAACCTTGCCTGCGTGTTGTTCCCCACAGCGGCAACGTTAGACAGGGTGAGCAAGCGAGTGCGGATGGTTGGTGGGAGCGCAGGCGGTCAGAGAATTCCCTCACCCTGTCCCGCGCCTTTAGACTGTTAGGGCTGGCTAACACGACTCACTCATTGCTGCTGTGTCGTCCACCCACTCCACTCAACTCCACATTATATGATTCACATCCCAGTCATATCCATGCACAGCTTCATACCCAATCCGCTCCGCAGCCCCTCGTCTACACCCCGAGCCTTCGCCTTCGCCGTTATGAGCGTCAACCCCCTCCCCTTCCTTCCCTTGCCTTCCCTCTCCTCCTCCCTGCAGCTCAACAAGCTGTGCACGGGTCCCGGAGCGCCCGGCCTGGTGCTCATCGTGAACCCGCAGTGGGAGACGCGAGGCAACCTGGTGTCGGACTTTGGTTTCGGAGCCCGGAGGCAGGAGGCGGAGCGCTTCATCGCCAGCTTCCAGCCCACCTACTCGCTAAAGCAGCTGAGGGTGTACGGAGACACGGTCAGGTGGGTGGATGGGTGGGTGGTGAACTGGTGATGGGAAGAAGGGTGCAGTCGCCGTACAGAGTGCGCAAAGCGGTGGCGCCTGGGCCGCGGCTTGGGGTTAGGATTGAGCGGGCGTGGGCCTGCTGGGGTCACGCCCTGGGGTTCTCGCCTCCTCGGGGTCTCAGCGGGCCTGCTGGTGGCCACGGCTGCGCGCTGTGGGCATGTGCGTTAAGGATATGGGTGTTCAGGGATAGGGATGGTTGCAGCACTGCAGCAGCCTGGTGCACGCGCAGCCACTCCCGCAGCTCAGCCGCCCGGGGGGCTCCGCAGCACGGATGTGGCGGCCCGCCCCCGCCCCCGCCCCCCTGGCCTCAGCCCAGCCGGCATGTGGTGTGTGTGTCAGCCGCCACGGCCGCCATGGCCACCAACCCCAAGCAACGCTGATCCCTGCACTCGGCCCCTCGTTGCCGCCCCATGGGTACTGCCGCTACGCATGGGGCCCTACCACCTGATCACAAACCTGACGCTGCGTTACGTTTCCCCGCAACTCTTCTTCCCTCCCTCAGACCTCTTCCTCCCTCCAGTCGCTGCCCACTCCCCGCCACCTTTACCCCAATCATCTCCGCCCCCTACCTCCGCCCCCCACCGTAACATGTTGCCAACCATAATGACGCCTTATCATCACACGGCCAGTTAATTCTTGCCTCTTTGCCCCACCTCCGCCTCGCCAGGACTCTGAAGGCGCACCCCAACCGCTGGCAGCTGCACCTGGCTCGCCGCGCCGGCAGCTCCAGCAGCAGCCGCGCGGGCAACGACTGCATCGCCACGCGCGACGAGGCGCCCAGCTACGCAGAGATCGAGTCGCTGCTGCGGGCGCGGCCCGACTCGGCGGTGAACAAGGTGGGGCGCAGGGCGGCCGGGATCAACCAGGTGGGAGCGGGGGCGGGTGGGTTAAGGGGCGGGTGGGGGCAGGGAGTGAAGGGGCATGAGTTGTAGTCTTGTAAAGAATTAGGGTTGGGAATTTGGGATGAGGGGCTTTATGGAGGGGTGGAAACAGCCAGTAGGAGTGCGGGTGGGTGGAGGGTTGGGAAGCAAAAGTGCTGTGAGTGCGGTTCATGACTGAGGAGGGTGCAGGAGGGCGGGTGGTGGGTGGGACCAGCGAAGCGCAGTGACCTGGGCTGGAGGCCGCTCGCGTGTGTCTTTGTATTGTATGCCCGGGCGTTGCTGCTGCCGAGTGCAGCTGACTGCTGTTGTTAGCAGACCAGTGTCAGCAGGCAGCTGCACCCGGGATGCGGGGCATGTGCCCTGTGTGCGTTGGTGCGAAACGGCGCGTAAAAAATGGTGATGATGGGTATTCACCTTGCCCCATACCCGCGCTCGTTCCCGGTCCCCGCCTTGCCCCCATGCTCCCCCCCTGCAGTCCATCTTTGACCGCATACGAAGCGAGCTAAGTTTCAACCAGGACACGTTGCGGCAGCAGCCGTAGACCCATCTCCTGGCGGCCTCAGCGGCTGCTGCTGCTGCAGGGGTGCACGGCTCCGTCCATCCGTGATTGCATAGAAAGGGAGATGAAGTGGGAGACATGAGAGAGGAGGGGTGTCAAGCTACGGCTGCTGTATTTCATTAAACGAGCTGAGTGCGCGAACGGGTGTTTAATTTACCGGCTGAGATTTTTTGCAGCTTTATACGAGATGGTGGTGGTGGTGGTAGTGATGAGGGTTATGGCAGTATGTGTGCGGTTTTGCTTAGAGTGCAGGACGCTGATGATTAAGGGCTGAGCCCTGGAAGGGCTGTTAAGCTGCTATGTCTTGGTTGTGAGCAGTTCTTGACTGGTTTAGGAGCTGCCTCTTCGGTTCGTTGTGGCAAGCTGCCGGCTGCCTAAAGTATGGTTGCATTGCTGGGGTTGCGTGGCGGTTTGTTGGTTAGAAGGCTGCGTTACGCCTGTGGGTTGTACAACAGAATTGTGGTTAAGCTCGCAAAGAGGAGAAGAGACATAACATGTTATGCAACCAATGCAAGGCATAGTGCCTTGTTTGCTGCTTTCAGTAGCAGAAAGCCCCAGGCAGGAAACCCTTAGCCAGGGTTGGGACGTGCTATGGTTCTAGACTGTGGTAACCATGTAACGATAGGCTGTGCCATGTCTTAAGGGGTGGCGGAAAGCGGCTACGGTATTTGCTCGGAGTTAAACGGCCGTGTTAGCAAGCTGCAAGCACTCAGCAGCTGTTCCCTTTTTGCGTTGCCCCTTGCCAACGTACGGTCTTGCTTGCGTCAATTAACGAACCTCTAAAAGCAAGCAGCTTTTGAAGCTGCCCAGTTGACTGCCCCTGGCGGTATGCCCCAACCCATCGTTGGGCTCGTTTCGCATGCCATGGCGGCAAGCGTAACTCTGAGAACCTGTACATGTATAGGCTTTACGGCGCCTATACGCTCCATGCTTTGTTAGTATGGTCTGAAGCAGGGAAGGTCGCCCATGGGCTGCAAGCAACTTAAGGACCGAGAAGTCGCTGGGCGCAATGCATCCGTTGGAGGCTGCATGTAACTACATTCCTACACGCACTCTTACGCGTTGGGCATATTTATGAAGATAATCTGTTATCATCTAGACAGATGGATCAATCACGCATCCTTGGTACCGGTACGCATGCTTAACGGCGGCCTGGAACGAAAACTTAACTAAACCAAGACGTGTTCCTATGGTATTGAGAGATCAAATCTGTACATGGCGTCAACTAGTTCGTTAGGTAATGGCATCTTACCCATGTTACGGTGCCGGATTAGTCATGGCGCGCGTTGGGTACATTCGGGCGGTACAGATGCTCCAACAAACATGGAAATGCCGAGATACCGCAAGCACTGCATTTAGCAATAATAAGTTCTAGTCGCCATGTTAGCAAGCCGACATGCTTCCAGTCCGGAGATCTGGGACCGCCATACGAGTCATACGGTCCTCCACCGACACATCGTACCGGCGCATTGCGCGGGAACAGTCGGGCACAGTTATTATTGCTCCTGCCTCCAGCCCAACACAATGAGTATCTTTCTCGTTTACTTTCATAATTGACCTGAGAGATAAAGAGAAACAGGACAGAGCCAGCTGAGCATGTTTAGAGGAAGGGTGGTACCGGTACGCTACGGTTCTTTCCTGACCCCCCGGCCCATAACCCTACCCCCTACTCATTGACACGTGGCGAACCCTAAACCCGGGCTGTGGATTGGACTCAATCAGGGTGACCCGGCAGCACGTTGGAATCATGTGGATCTTACAGCAATGAAGGGAGGTGACAGCCGTCCTCAGCAGAACAAAAACCGTTGCGAGCGCGCATAATGCAGCGCCGCGTAACGTCCCAGTCAGCAGTGCAAACAGTGCGAGCCGACGTTGCTGTTGTTCTTGTCAATGGTAATCTTTGATTGTCGTTTCGGGTCAAATAAGAGGCAGGAAAAGCCAAATAAGCAAAAGCAGTCCGGCAAAACTCAGGAAAAGCACACACACGTACTTCGCGCATACGCACACAGTCTCTCTTCCGCCTCATTAAGAATCATGGCCACCGCTAATTAGGAATGGCCTTTATGGTACGATGCCTACCACGTCTTCGGGTGACAGTAGCGGTCATAGGCAAACAATGGGTGCATCCGGCACATGCAGGCGCAGGCGAGTCATCCCCAGGGCAAACCGGGGGCACCGGCGCATCCCAGCTCAGCGCAGTCTTCTGAGACCCATGCGAACAGCAGCAGCAGCAAGGGATGTGCAACTGGCCTGACACAACACAACTAACAGCTACTAACACTCAATGTGGACCGGGATTGACAACACACTCTATAAGAGACACCCAAGCAACGCTCTTCATCCGATCGTGCATTGGCAAACCCCTCCCACATAGCTCGCAACTCTCGACAGAAACTAACGCGTGATAAAGAGGGTACACAGCAGCAGCTCAACCCCCAGGTCAACACTGGAGTGTAGTCGACCTTGGTTCAAGCCCGGACCGACCCGCGGGTCCAACCAAGAAGGTTGAGTCAGCCGCGAGGGACGGCCACAACAGCACAGCTCCTTCACCGAAGCTAAAAGTACATTATATGTCTCACTAAGCAATAGGCAGAGGAAACCGCCATTGGTGGCAAGCAACCCGGCCAAGCCTCACAAAACCAGCAAATGTTAGGTAGCGTCACTCTTCCCTTCACGACCACACTCCTTTCTTTGATCAGCTCATTCACCACACTTCGCTTCTATACAGCAACTAACCCCCACCAGCCAACTAAGCAAGCAAGCAATAAAATAAGGGGCCTCACTCCAAGCATCCCTCACCTCTTCTCACCTCACCTCGGCTTATGGTACGACTCTCTAGCTACCATGATCGATGTTAACAACACTAGCACAGGGATTGTCTCCTCTCAAGCAGGCAAGCAAAGCAAGCGACTAGAACCGACGACAAGACCGACGTGCCATAATGGCACGTACATACCTAATATGCACCGCAGTACGGACACGAAGGGGACCACGTACTGCCATAACTGAAAGCGTTGGTACAAACCCACCCTAACAACAGCAATTATCTTTCTCAAAGGTCACCCGGCGTCCGTCAAACAAGGGCTTGCGGCGGAATACCGAGGGTCATCAGCTAACACAGGGCGCGCGGGGCCCAATCCAACACCACCTGGTCGTCAAAATTTGTCTTCGACTAACTCAGTTGTCGCTGACGGCTTCACATACTATCATCAATACACCGCCTTTCCGTCAAATCCGCTGGCCAGTTGGTAAGCTCACAGCGCGAGGCAAAAGCAGACCAATCGAACGCTGCCCGCATTGTCGAGGTAAGGAACCAGGATAAGGCCGTGCTTCTCAAGCGGCGCGAGTGCAACAAGCTCGTTCTGGGCCATAGATTTGAGCTTGGAGAGCTGAGCTGCGGACGCCTCAACAAAGGTGCACTTGCACACGCGATGTCGCCCAAGCTTGACTGCACGGCGCGGCGCGAGCTGAGCAACCTCCAGGTGCTGAGCGTCTGCAAGCTCCTTGGCGCACTCTTCCGGCAACGGCACGCTAATTTTGCAGTAAACCAGGTCACGACCGTTGGGGCCCGACTGCCAGATGCTGCCAGTCCATGCAACCGAGGCAGGAACTGCCGGCGCGCTGGCGGTTGATGCGACTGGGCTGTGCGGTGCGGGGTGTGGGCTCTTCTTCGCAGGAAGGTGCGGAACGGCGAACTCTGCCGGGCGCTGGTCGATGGGAATGTCGTCGGCCACGCTGGCCTCCTCGACAGGTGTTGTTCGCTGCCGTTTCAGCGGCCCACAGGCGTCCTCCGTGAACTCCGAATCCATCTCCTCGCTGCCCACGCGCTTGCCTGTTATAAACAAACATGTTAGTATCGGAAGACTCGGCACAAGCACAGCGCCGACACCGCCGTAGTAGAATTGCACACGTGCAAGGAACAGGCTAAGCAGACGGTATGCACCAGTATGTAGATAGCCAAGATGGTTAACCAAATGGAAAGACCAGCTGCATAGCGAAAGGTGAAGGCATATAACGCAAAAAGCGCCAAGACCCCAGCCCAACCGTCAGGAGGCCTTTAACAAAAATGACAATAAAACTGTATATATGTTTACTAACGTGTTCAGAAGTGAGCGTAACAACATAACGCAGAAGCAAAGGAATGCAGGAGCCGCGAAGACGATTGGGCCGCGCACCTGAGCAACTTGAGTGCCCGCTGCTCGAGGACTTTGTTTTTGATGCCACAACCTGTCGGTACTTCTCTACCATCTTGTGGAAGTCCAGCAAGCCGACCGCGGCTTTCCGCGCGGACTGGACGCAGCCGCGTTCGGACATTTCAAGCGCGCTGTAAAGTTGCAGTAACGGAAATGAATGAAGATGTTAATATGGTGCGAAAGGCAATCCCTTGTGCCGAAAGAGAGAAACGACTTACCGCTGAAGCATTTGCGCAATTCCCGAGCAATTCCACTGCTCGTCTCCTTGAACACATTGCAGCGCCTCACGAAGAAGCTTTGCTACAAGCTCTACAGAGTCGTCTGAAGCCGCATTGGGGTCTGCAGAGGATTGAAGCTCTGCCAGCACTGAGTACCAACGTCGTTGAGGGCTTGAACTGCACGGTGCAGACTCCAGCAAAGCGCAGGCTGCATCTCCAATAGCAACCATTTCGGTAGAGCATTTTAACAAGCACGAGAGTTGGGGGCTGCCGGCGGACGCCATGCACTAACAACTTCCGAGACAAGTCTTTTCAGAGGACACGGAAAACAGTTTACGTGAAATGTAATGGCTGTAAAACACTTTAGCACAAGAAAGTTTGTTGCGGATGCACGTCGGAGAAACAATGATGCCTTCCGACAGTTTCGGGGAGTGAAAAAGAAGATGAGGTACGGAGTACGACGACATATGCGGTCGATAATGGGCATCGATCTGCTATACAACTCGGATTACTTGCACGGCTGGCGTACTTGATTCGGACGAGATAAGGACAGCTTCGCATATGCCGGTTGGGCTACCAGACAGCCATAGCGTTGAAGCGCGACTCCAGTGCCGGTACTAGGCATGCTAAACGACCTGCACGAGGCCTGGTCTTCCCGACCTGGCAAAGCGAGGGAACTCTTTACCCGCATGTACAAGTTGATGTTCTCACGAAGCAGCTTTGGTGAGCATAAATCCCTAGCCAGCGGTGGCCGACCAAGAACCAACTGCTATGAAAGCTTGAATGGACGTGAAATTCTTGAATGGCAATAACTTGGGCTTCTAGTTGTTTGATACAGCTTACGATGTTCCGAAACTACGAGACCTCTCGGAAACTCGGCGGGCGTTTTCATTCCCTAAGGCATGGATACGCATAATGCCGCTGCAACCCTTAAAGCGATATTGTATAACTGGAGCTAGCTTAATCGTCCTTTCTGCATTCGTCTGCACTATGCGCCCCTTATCCATTGCGGTCGTTGAATGACCAGCAATGCCCCGAAGGACCAACCAGCGGAGGATGTGCCCAATTCTTCATAGTTTTAATAAACAATGAAACGTCTGGTCAGTTGATTAAAACTTAAAATGTCACGTCAACGCTATTTAAAATATAGCGCCGGGACATGGCGTAACGCCCGTCCACCCAACCGGCATGTCAGGTACACGAATCGCGACAGCGACCCCGTTATCTCCCGCTCTGCTTTACAATGGTTTCTGGAGCCTGTGCCACTTCCCTGTACCTTCATGTCCCATCAAGACACCCCGGCCATGCGCAACTGCATTTCAGTTTGCACGATGTGTCGTGCCCACCTTACCTTATCCGTACCTTGCAACCATTACATGTCCCGCTCCTCAAAGTCCTTCCTGCTGCGGCTGCAGCGCCATGCTGCCCCCAATCCCGCCCCGCATGCCCAGTGCGTTTCCCTCCTCCCAATCCCAGTCGGGGGCCTGGTGCGGCAGCAGGTAGGCCCCGCATTCCCGCCCTTCCTCGGGTGCCGCTACGCGAGGGCTACCGTGCACGCGAGGAGAGCCCTCCAAGGGCCTCCCAGCAAGGGTGCGTTGCATGCGGTGCAGCTACACAGCCAGCCAGCCGGCCGCGGCCGCGGCTGCGGCTGTGCTGCGGAAGGTCCGCCCTCCCGTGAATGCGCTGAGTCATGGGGCGTCAAGCGGCCCGACCTCTGGGGCCACTGGCTGGGTTCTCACGGGTGGTGGCTGCGGGGTGCTGGTTAGGTGGCTGCCCAGTTGGTGACTCAACAACCCTGACCACGCTGACCACCCTCGGCTGGCTAGCTGGCTGGCTGGCCGCTGACAGTGGCATTATGCGCGGGAGTTGGAGCCTAGGACAGAAGCTAGACCAGGTGTGCCAGCGGACCAGATACGGTAGTCCAATGTGTCGAGTTTTCTTGAGTGCAATTGCGAAGGATGGATGGATGGGCAGCCCTGTGTGCAATTCTCGCTGCTTCCGTATGTCAGTGTACGTCGGCATGGGGTGGTGACAGGTGGTGAGCGACATTCCTGTTTGTCCTGCAGACCATTCATGATAAAGCTTATTAATATAAACAAGCCAACAGCTTCAGACTGTAGACGTCCTGTATCTTCCCTCACAAGCAACAACAGAACGTCCTCTCCATGTGGGCAAAGGTGCGTCATGCTCACATCCCGCCAAACATCCCGCCAATGCTTAACCGCTTCCCAGCCTTCAACTGCAAAGCATCAAGCCTTTCAATTGTCCTCTTTTTGAAACTGCTGTGCAGTTTATAACTGCGCTCGGCTTCGGTGAGGGCGGCCGGACGGGTATCGGCCGCCGCACCTCCGCGCCAGAGGGCGCCTCCTCGCCCCTGACGCGACATGAGCGCAGCATCGATGAAATGCGAGACTTTGAGCGAGATCTTCGCAAGTTTGAGAAGCATGTTCGAGACTACAAGGCATCAACTGAAGGTGAGGAGCTGTGTCTGGCTGTAGGCAAAAGGCGCGCGAAAAGTCGGAGGCTATGACTGTCCGGATGAGTCAGCATCCTACGTGACATGTCGCTTGGTCTGCGGCGCATGTTTGGAAAGTGCTTACCTCTGCAGATAGGATGATGGAACGGCTGCCATGTTTTTTTCGTGTTGCTTTGCTCTACGAAACGCGAAACGCAAAAGAAACTGGGAACGACCCATGGGTCACTGCTCGCACGGTACTGGCTTGCACCGCTGCGAAGCGCTCCGGGGTGCCTCTATACAGAGCCCTTCTGTATGAAATAACAGTCCCGTTGTTATGGCATTGTATATAATTAGTGAGGCTCCGTTTGCTACAGTATTTTGTCAACCGCCGTTTCCGCTCATCTTGCATCTCTCCTTGTCCCTCTCCCTCACCACCACAACTAACCTCCCCTTCTTCTTTCCCCCCAACGCAGTCTTCCTGGGCGGCTTCAGCGCCTTCCTGCGCGACTCCCAATTGCCCCGACTGTACGACACCGTACCCGCAACCGCCGGCCCAACCGACATCACAACCGCCACAACCGCTCCAACCGACGCCGACAGCACTTCCGCCGCCACCCCCGAAGGAGCCCCGTCCGCCCCGCCTGCCCCCTCTGCCTCCCCGCATGGCCCCGGGGAGCAGCTGGTGGTGGTGGAGCCGCCCCCTCCCGCGCTGCACTCGCAGCTGTACGGCAGCGACTTCCACTCCTCGCTGCTGGGGGGCGTGGGGGCGGGCGCGGGGGAGCGGTTCGAGGCACTGCTGCTGCCGCTGAGTGTGTGGCTGGGCACGTATGAGGATGCCAAGGTGGGGCCGGGAGGGGGTGTGGGAGGGTGGTGTGACAGCGGCGGAGAACTCGCGTGCCCAGATCTCACACCACCTCACGTGCTTTCTTCCCCCCTCTCTGCTCCGCCCTCTCCTCTTCTCACCCCTCACCTCCTCTTCTCCCCTCTTTACCCCCTCCCCCAGCTGCGCCTCCAAGCCGCACGCAAGCTGGAGTCCCGCGCGTTCGGCCGCAAGCACCTGCCGCACCTGCACTCGCACACGCATGCACCCGCCGCCACCACCCCTGCCGCCGCCGCCGCCACCCCCACTCCGGAAGCAGCTGCCGGCCCCGCTGCCACTGCCGAGGGCGAGGGCGTCACAGGCAAGGAGCAGGCCGCCGCTGCAGCCACCACCACAGCCGAGGCGGCGGCGGCGGGGGAAGCACGTGCTGAGGGAGGGGCGGGGGCAGTGCCCGCTGCCGCCGCGGCTGACACCACTGCTGCTGGTGGTGGTTCTGTGCATGAGGAAGATGGTGAGGAGGCGGAAGGGGAGGCGGGGAAGGAAGGAAGGGAAGGTGGAGGGAAGCCAGGCAACGGGGCAATGGGGTTTAGGATGTGCGGCTCGGAGGGCGTTAAGGCCGGTTGGTTGGGGAGGATACCGGTATCGCCCCCTTCTCCTACCCAACTCTCACCTCCCCCTTCCCGCCTCTTCCCCCTCTACCCCTCTCCTCCCTCCCAAAGCCTCCGCTGCCTCCGAGTTCCGACGCGCCGAGCAGCTGCTGGCGGAGGAGGTGGGCTGGCTGGTGCGCGGGGCGGCGGGACTGCGGGCCTGGGCGGCGGGGCTGCTGGCGGCGGGGGCGGCGGGGGTGCCGGTGGCGGCAGGCGGGGGAGCAGGAGCGGGAGGAGGCGAGCTGGGGCCGGTGGGGGTGCTGGAGCCGCTGCCTGCGAGCATTGCGGTGAGGGGGGCGGGTGGGGCGGGGCGGAGGCGGAGCAGGGCGAGGCGGGGAGGAGGAGGAGAAGCATGCGTGCATGGGGGCTCGCGGGTTAGGCGGCGATGGAAGGAGGTGGTGGGAGGATGCGTGAGAAGGGGCCGGAGGATTGGCATGTGTTGCGACAGGTCACCCCCTCATCTACATCACCGTCTCTTTATCCATCTCTCTCCCCAACGCCACACCCACGCCATGCCCCCGCGGTGCCCCCCCCCCCCCCAGGCTACCCCCATTGCTTTGCCCTAACTTGTGGTCTCCTATGGTTTGGTATGGTCTTTGACCCCCCGCCCCTCAGGCTGCTCCCATGTCGAGGAGGGCCAGGGACAAGGAGTCCCACTCCCGCACTCGGGAGCAGAAGGAGAGGGAGAGGGAGGCGGGCAAGCAGCTGCACACCGGGGTAGCAGCAACAGCAACAGCAGCAGGAAGTGATGGTGCGACCGCCGAGGTGCCGGCCGCAGGGGGCGCAACTGGGGTGACGGGAGCGACTGAAGGCAGGGAAGCGGCGGGTGTGGCGGGTGTGACGGGTGCGGGCGATGTAGCGGCCGGCAGCCCTCCTCCTCCTTCCACTGCTGCGGCAGCTGCTGCTTCACCTGCGGCTGCTGCTGCCCCCACCGCCGCCTCCACAGCTGCACCACCATCACCACCACGCGAGCCGCCGCCCCCGGCTGCCTCCCAGGAGTCTCAGGCACCTGCTGCCCCTCCCTCCCCCTCTCCTTCTCCTTCTCCTCCCGCCACTACCACCACTGCCACCACCCCCTCAGCCGCAGTCGCAGGCACGAGCACTACTACCGGTGCCCCCAGCAGCCACGACGCAGCGGCAGCAGCAGCAGCAGAGCCCGCTGCCGGCGCCACTACCGCCCCCAGCACTGCTGAGCCGTCAGACACCCCTGGGGCACCAGGAACACCGGCAGCAGCAGCAGGAACAGGAGGAACAGCCGCGCCCGCAGCAAAGGGAGCGAGTGGAGGAGGAGACGGAGGCGGAGAGCAGCGGGCTGCGGCGGCGGAGGCGGCAGGGGAGGAGGAGGAGGCGGGTGGGGCTGGCCGGGCCCCCGAGGTGGTGGCAACGCAGGAGGCGGAGGGGGTGCCCGAGGGGAAGAGGGCGGAGTTCGGATGAGGGGAGGGGTGAAGATCTGAGAAAGGTGTGCTACGAAGATTGGCCGTAAGAGGTAGCCTACTGGAGAGTGGACTGTCGGAAGATGTACGACGTCCCCACCATAACGCCGACGGGAAGGTGTGTTGATAAGACTGGCCGCGAGTGGGGAGGTGTGTTGGAATAAATGGCCGTGAGGCGGAACGTCCTGTCATTTTCGAAACATGAAGTCCTCCCAGTGTAGCTTGGATCGTGTATAAATGGTGTAGTCGAGGTGTGAGAGATAGGGTGCTGCACTAGAATACGGAAAGATCATTTCGATGGGATCCCTTTTCCCACATAGCTGGCACGGTTAAGGTGGATTTTGAGGTAACACCAATCATGTTGGCCAACGAAAAGGCCGAGAGTTTTGGCTTTGCTAGTACTGGTGTTGTGTGATGCGACACTGTGTATGTAGATTGCTGTTGATTGCTGTACACGTTTTCCTAATTGGTGATAGTTGGTGATGTTGCATGCGTGTAAGAAAGATGGTCCCTCGCAGATCGCAGGCCACAGCCGGCAAGACAGCTGTGCACCCACAGGCCTGCAAACACCGATATAGCACACACTAGTTAAAATCCCGGCAGGTTATGGCAAGGTCAAGTCCATGAACGGTCCTGTGTGACACAGCTTTCTCTACTTCTCCTTTCCCCTTCTACCTTGCACAGTACCACACCCAAGGGCCGTGTCCGTCCTGTGGCTCGCCTCCTGGATTGCACGCGCGTCGCAAGGCCCCCGGGAACTGGGCACGAGCGAGCCGGCGTCCCCTCACACACCCTATACCCCTGCTGTTTGCATAACCCCAACCGCCCCATCGCTGCCTGCTTTTACCCCACACCGCTGCCCTAACCCTACAACCTCCCCGTCACCCACCTCAGCCCCCTAAGTCCCCTTCCCCTAATCCCACCCAATATCACCTTTCCCCTGCCCGTCATACAGGTTGTCAGTTTCCTCTACTTAGCCCATGCACGCATGCACGCTCCCGCACCCAGCCCACCCACGCAGTGCTTCCGTACAACACTGTGCCGTCCAACACCGCAAACCCCGATCATCACTTTTGGTGGTCACCTGTGCGTCTCCCCCCGGTTACCCCTGTGTTTTACCCCTGCTTCGTCTGCTGCCCCCTCCGCTGCCCCCCCCCCCTTGCTGCCCCCTCCCCTGCCCCCGCCCCCTGCTCCCCCTGCTGCTAGTGTCCCAGGGCAAGCTGGTAGATCTGGTCGTAGGTGGCCACGAAGTGCGGCTCCAGACCCTGGGGAAGGGGGGGGACGGGGGGCGGAGGATAAGCACTCGGTGCATACCGGTATTCGGTGCCTAATAGATAACGCAGGGTAAGACAGTTGCCCCAACCTGTGGTGGTGGACCAATGGTTCCCTCTATCTCCCGCCCATCTACCTCCCTCCCCCCCGCCCACCTCCTTGAGCTCCTGCCCCAGCTCCTCGTACTCCGCCCGGTTGCCCTCGGGGAACACCACAACCCTCACGCCGCTGCGCCGGGCCGCCAGCACCTTCTCCTTCACACCGCCGATGGGAAGCACGCAGCCGGTGAGCGTCACCTCGCCTGGGGGGAGCGGGGGAGGGGGGGAGAGGGTGGTGGTGGGTGCAGGGGGTAGGTTGCAGGGGAGGGGGGCAGCTGAGGGTGTAGGTGGGTTGGGTCGGAGGGGCGAGGGGTGGGGTGAGCGGGGACGACAAGAAAGGAGAAGACGGTAAGGAAGCAGAGACGTCCACCCCTGGTGCTGGGAACGCATCCAAACCAACATCCACCTGCCACCCTCCCCTCCCTCCCTCGGCCCCACCCACCCGTCATGGCCAGATCCGGCTTCACGCTCTTCCCCATCGCCAGCGACAGCAGCGCCGTCACCAGCGTGCAGCCCGCGGAGGGGCCGTCCTTGGGGGTGGCGCCCGCCGGCACGTGCACATGCAGCGCCGACCCCGCCAGCACCGCCGCCGCAGCGGGGTCGCGGTCTGCCAGGAAGTTGCGTGCAAAGGTGTGGGCGATGGTTGCCGACTCGCGGAACACGTCGCCCAGCTGGCCGGTGGTGGTGAGGGAGCCCTTGGCTTCGGAGCCGGACACCTTGGCGGCCTCAACGTAGAGGGTGGCGCCGCCCAGGGGGGTCCAGGCTAGGCCCATGACCACACCTGAAGGGGGTGGGGTGATGGAGGAGAGGAGAAGGGAGGGGGAGCTGAGGTGTGGGTGGGAGTGGCGAGAAGGGGGGAGCGGTGACGGTCCTGTTGTGCCAAAAGCCCGCTGCTCATTCCCGCTTTCATACCGGGGCAGGGTACAAGGTGCTTCACCGCAGAGCGCCCATTGCTACCGCAGCAGCACCAGCTGCCCCGACCCGCAACGAACAACAGGAGGTTCCCCGTTCCCCTCTTGCTCCCCTCCCCCTCCCACCTCCCGCTCCCCGCCCACCTCCCCACACATCTCCCCGCTCCCACTCCCCCCCCCGTCTTTCAGTTCGTCCGTTTTCCTTATTTCCCCCCACCTCTCTCCCCCCCTCCCCCCACCTGGCGGTGTGGTCTCATAGAACTTGTCCCGCGCGAAGGGCGCCTGCCCCACATACTCCTTCAGCTGCTCCCGGGCGATCACCACCGGGGGACCGTCGTACACCACCCGCACCTTGCCGCTCTTGCTCTTGCCGTCCTTGCCGTCCTTCTTGCCGTCCTTGCTGCTGTCCTTGACATTACCACTGCTGCTGCCGCTGCTGCTGCCCTCGCTAGGAGCCTCCGCCTTCTCCTCCACTTTATCAGCACTAGCGCTACCACTATCACTCGAAGACTCGTTAGAAGACGCCGCCGCCTCTTCCTTACCCTTACCCTCCTCCTCCTCCTCCTCCCTCACCGGCCGCGCCCCCGCGCGCACCAGCTGCAGTGCCACCTTGCGGTATACCTTCTCGATGTGCTTCTTCAGGTTGCGCACCCCCGCTTCGCGACAGTACTCGCTTATGAGCGACTCCAGGGCGGGTTCGGTGAGGGAGACGGAGGCGGGCGGCACGCCGGCCTCGGAGGCGGCGGAGGGCTCCAGGTAGCGGCGGGCGATGGCGCGCTTCTCGTCTGGGTGGGGGGGGGGGAGGAGGGGAGGGAAGGTGGAGGTGGAGGAGTGGTGAAGTAACCGTGTGATAAGGCGTCATCGGGGTTCGCAACATGTGAGCCACCCTAAACTTATAAAACCCTGCAGCCTGCAGCCTTCCCAAGCCGCCCAATCCCTCACTCCCATCCCCCACCAGCCCACACACCCCTCCTCTCTCCCCTCCTCCCCCCCTTCCAATACGCCCCACCTTGTGCGTATCCTGACAGCCGGATGACCTCCATGCGGTCCAGCAGCGGTCCGGGGATGGTGTCCAGCGAGTTGGCGGTGCACACGAACAACACCTGGGGGGGGGGCGGGGGGGCAGGAGTGGGAGTTGGAGTGAAGGGAGAGTGGAGGGAGGGTTGGTGTGTACGGGACTAGCATTACTACCGGTACTATTACAGGGTGCAGGGAGGGTTGGGGCGATGGGGAGGGTGAGGGCAGTGTGAGGTTAGTAGGTGAGGTGAGGAGGGATACATACTTGTATCTAGGGACGGGCAAGGCAATGCCGACCTCTATAGTGGTTGCAGCAGCAGGCACCGGTGCGTGCGTGGGTGCTTCCCTGGGAAGCAAGGGACCCGCCGACCCATGGGTCCATGCCCCCCCCCTGCTCCCTACCCCCTCCCCCCCACCCACAAGCAGTAGACAACTAGAACAGCCAGCTTTCTTCCGCCCGCTCGCTGGAGTGTCAACCTTTCATCCTCATCGCGGACCCGGTATCGGTAGGGAATACTGACCAACACTTTGTACTGTGACACCCTGCCGCCTCCTACCCCCATTGCTTTGCCTAACATGTGGACTCCTATGGTTTGGTGTGGTATTTAACCTCACCTTGCTCAGGTCCAGCGGCAGGTCCAGGTAGTGGTCCAGGAACGCGGAGTTCTGCTCGGGGTCCAGCAGCTCCAGCAGGGCGGAGGCGGGGTCGCCGGTGTGGCCGCGACCCAGCTTGTCTACCTGCATTGGGGGGGGAGGGGGGCATACGTGTGAAAAGTGAAGTAACTGGGGTCCAAGTTGGGTGGTAGAAAAGAGCAAACCATAGGAAACACGTTGGGGAGAAGGGGGGAGAGGCGGGGTATGGAGGTAACAGGTGAGCAACGGCCACTATGAGACTGATGTCCGCCACTGGCGATGCAACGTGCAAGTGAGGAACCTACCGGTAACACGGACGATAGTTACAAGGAGCATGAGCAGGGGTATCTGGAGGAGCCTTTTTCTTCCGATGTGGACTGTTACAGAGGAAGGATAGGAAGCCTGTGTCTGTCCGGCAACCGCCCTTCGTCTGCCCCTCCCCCTGCCCCTTCTCGCTGGCCTCCCAAGCTCTTCTTCTTTTCCCTCCCTCCCCCGCCCCTCCTCCCTCCTCCTGGTCTGGTATGGTCTTAGACCCCCCCGCCCCACCTCGTCAATGAGCACCAGCGGGTTGGACGACCCGGTGGACTTGAGGCACTGCACCAGCTTGCCGGGCATGGCACCCACGTAGGTGCGCCTGGGGGGGGAGGGAGGGAAAATAACTGGTAAGTGCAGGAACTGGAGGGGAGAAGAGAGCATGGGCGGTGCAGCCGCTCCAGGACAGAAATAAGGCACAGGTTGCTTTCACACCCTGTCAGATGCCCCCTCTTCAAGCCCCTACATGTATATTACGTCCCCCTTATGGTCTTCACTCTCTTCTCCCCTCCCCCTCCCCTCCCACCTGTGTCCCTTTATCTCCGCCACGTCATGCAGCCCCCCCACTGAGAAGCGGTAGTAGTGGCGGTTGAGGGCGGTGGCGATGGAGCGGCCGATGCTGGTCTTGCCCACACCGGGGGGACCCACCTAGGGGGGGGGTGAGGGGAGGAGGGGAGGAGGGGAGGAGGAGGAAGAGGGGTGAGGGGCGCTGAGGTCGTACCACGACGTGTAATCCAGGGGCCCATAGCAGCCAAACCTACGATGGTGCTGTAGGGTGGGTGGGAGCCCTGTTGCCCCAGTGCTGGCTGGCTGCCTGTCTGACTGCCTGTCTGGCTTGCGGCAGGAGAGTATGCGGCCATTCATGCACCCCTACCTATCCTCCCCCCCTTCCCCAGCCCCCCCCCCCCCTCCCCCTCCCCCCCTCCCTACCAGGCACAGTATCTTGCCCTGCGCGCTGCCCCTCAGGTGCGACACCGCGATGAACTCCAGTATGCGGTCCTTCACGTCGTCCAGACCGTAGTGCTCGTCATCAAGGACCTGCGGCAGGGGGGAGTGGGGGGGGGAGAGGGGAGGGAGGGGGGAAGGAGATGAGAAGTGCAGCAACTGGAGTCCCCATTCCAGATTCCGACACATGGAGTGAGGGCATACGGAGATAGAGGAGGCGAGGAAGGAGTATGGGAGAGGGGGGAGCAGAGGGAGGGGGGCTGCTCTAAGGATATGGACCAAAACAGGAGGGGGTGGAGAGCAGGTCAGGCCGGTGTTGTTTCCACCCTACCCCCCCCCCAGCCCCACCTTCTTTGCCCTCCCTGCCCCCACCTTCTTTGCCCTCCCCCCCCCCCACCTTCTTTGCCCTCCCCAGGTCGAACACCTCCTCCGTGGTGCAGCCCCAGGGCAGGCTGGTCAGCCACTCCAGGTAGGTGCGCGTGATGTTGAACTCGGGGGACACGGGCTCCAGGCCGCCCAGCTTGTCCAGCTCGTCCTTTGGAAAGGGGGGGGTAGGGGGGAGGGGAGGAGGGGAGGGAGGAGGGGAGGAGGGATGGGGGTTAGGATACCGAAACCGGATTCTACATCAGCCCGGAGCATCAGCCAGTCGCCAGCTGGGGGATAGGGTTGGGAGAGGAACGCGTACGAGGCAGGTGTAAGAGGCAAGTGTATGGCATGTGTCATGCATGCGTACAGCAGATGTAAGGGGCAGGTGCGCCCCCCTCCTCACCTGCACCACCTTGGCCACCTCTGCCGGCGCCACCCCCCGCTTCTCCTCCCACCGCTCCTTGAACCGCTGCAGCAGCGCGCTCTTGTCGTCCCGCTCCAGCCCCAACTCCTTCTTGATGCTCTTCAGCTGCTCCATCAGCAGCATGCGCCGCTGATCCTTAGCGATCTTGCCCTCTACCTGGGGCCCAAGAGAAAGGGGGAGGGGGGGGAGGGGGAGGGAGGGGGAGGGAGGCGCATTAGGTAAACTGAGCCGCGGGAGGGAGGGGAGGGAGAGGGAGGGAGGGGTAACGCTTGCGTGGCGGTGCTACCACCGGGGAGGCGGATATTGGCGGGCGGGTGGCTCACGTGCCGCTGCCGAATTCCTTCCCATATCCCGCAACCACCCCTGCACCCCGGCAACCCGCCCCCCGCACCCCCCGCCACCCCCACCTGTTCCCGTATGTCGGCCTGCAGCTTGCACAGCTCCACCTCCTTCTTAAGCAGAGCCAACACCATGCGGGCCCTGCAAGGTGGGGGGGACGCGGGGGGAGGGGGGTAAAATAAGGAAACTGACGAGGCAACTAACAAGCTGTGTGCATGGGGGGGGCGCAGGTGGGTTAGTAAACCACCCATGGGGCTTCTCGGAACCGAGGGGGTGGGTGGGTGGGTGGGTGGGGTGAGAAGGGGCATGGGTTGAGGTGTGGGCGGCCGTGAGAAGCGGGTTGGACCACGCTCGGAAAGGGAACCGCAGCCAATCCTCCCCACAATCCCCTCTCCTGCTCCTCCCCCCAAACTCGTGCCCCCATTAACCTGCCCTTCCTATGGTTGGTCTATTCTGTCCCACCCTCCCACCCCCATGTTGCAAACCATGTTGACGCTTTATCACACATTCAGTTTGACGTTTCCTTGGAACACCCCCACCCCCCCGCTCCCCCCCCCACACCTCTCCGGCACGCTCAGCGCCTCCAGCACCCCCTGCAGTGTGGCATCATCCGCGGAGGTGAGGCTGGCGGCCGCATCCACCAGCCGGGACATGTCCTGCAGGTCGATACTGCCGGCTGGGGGGAGAGAGGGGGGGGAGGGGGGGAGAGGGAAGGGGGGAGGGGGGGGTTGAGGGGTTGGAAGTGAGGGGGGGGGGATTCGCGCATCTATCTCTCCATGCCTTGTCCGTTACCTACACCGCAGAACCGCCCCCTTGAAGCGCCGTCTTCCTCCCTTCTGCCCCCCCTCGCTCCCCCCCTTTGCTTTGCTCTAACCGGCGGCTTCCTATACGGTGTAGCATGGTCTTTGGCCCCCCCTCCTTCCCCTCCCCCCCCCTCCCCGCCCCGCTCACTTAGGCTGAGCAGCGTCCTGAACTGCTCGCCGTACAGCGGGTTGAGCTGCAGCAGGTCGCGCATGGTGTTCACGATCTCCATGCTGGTGGCCTGGGGGGGGGAGGGGAAGAGGAAGGGGGTTTGGGTAGGAGTAGCAAGGTGTATGTGTGAGGTGTCAGGAGCGTTGCGGGAGCTGGCGGGGTTGAGCAAGGGAGAGCAGCCCTCTGCCCCCAGGACAGCCCTCAGGCAGAGAATGGTACGGCAGAGAAGGGAAAGGAAGGTACGGTACGGCAGAGAACGGTATGGTACGACACACCGCGGTGCTGTACGGCACAGCGCCTGCCTCCTACCTTGAGGATGTCATCGCTGGTGTACGACTCGTCCCTCAGGTGGTCGATGTGCACTCGCAGGGGGTCGGAGGAGATCTGGGGGCGGGAGGGTGGGAGGGTGGGAGGGCGGGTGGGAAACAAGGGGGCGGGTGAGGCGGCATGCCGTTGCCTTGCAGGTTCACAACCCGGCGAACTGGGGAGGGCCTAATGCTCTGAGAGCCCCTCTCCAGGCTCCCCTCTCCATTCTGCTCGAGCCACCTCCCTCTCCCCCTCCCTCTCTCACCACTTTGGTTTTGCGCACTCGCCGGTGCCCCAGCAGCAGCAGCTGAGCCGAGTCGCCGCTGTCGCCCGCCAGCACGGTGTGGACCTGGGGGGGTTGGAGGGAGATGGAGGGGAGAAAAAAGGAATCCTAATGTGTGGTTTTTTTTCGACGTGGACTGTTACAGAGGAAGGACAGGATAATGATACAAGGGGAGAGGGGAAGGGGCAGAGTAATGAGTGTACGCCGCAGGTGGGGTGCGAGGCATGCAGAGAAGAGAGGGCCGCTGTGACCCGCGGGTCACCCAAAGCCCCACTCGTGACAGCGACCACAGCCCACACGCTCCAGCACAAGGGACCCGCCAGACTCCAACTCTCTGCCGCTTCCTGCAGCTCCTCCTCGACCTGTGTCGGCCCCCGCCGCCCAGCCAGCCCACCATGCTGGCCAGTGCGGCCCCGGCCCCGGACCACCACCACAAACCCGCAGCTCACCTGCCCCGCGTCTGTTACTCTTCCTCCTCTCCTTCAACCCAGCCACCCACCCACCCCACTGGCTTAGCTGATTCGGGCTGGGCGGGTCGGGCTGGCTCACATGTTGCAAACCATATCACACGGTCAGTTGGTTGTTTCCTCTCCCCCCCCCACCTGCGCAAAGGTGCCAATGTCGTACAGGTGCGATGCGGCATCCCCCGCCTCCGCCGCCTGCGGGATACCAAACATGTTGGTGCTCTGCTGGGCCTGCGGGCCCTGGCCGCCCTGCTGCTGGGAGGAGGAGGAGGAAGATGAGGAGTCGGAGGAACGCTTCAGGAAGGCTCCCACGTAGGCATGAGCGCTGCGAGAGGGGGGAGAGGGAGGGGTGCAGGCGGAGGAGGTGAGGGGAGGTGAGGGGAGGTGAAAGGGGGGGGGGTGCGGAGAGGGCGGGGAAGGACAGGTGGGCAATGTGGCCCCAGGCAGGGCTGAGCATGCGGGGGTGTGAGGAGTTGGGGATAGTTATCAGGTTCAGCACGTTCCTTTCCATATTTCTGTAATGCAAGTCATGGAGTGGAAAGCGACAATCGTTAACCGGGTCAGCTGCTGCTGCCGTAGCCATTGCCAGCGGCTTGCCGCGCCCCTCCAACCGTCAAACCACTCACGAACTCACCCCTGCCGCTTGACCTCCAGGATCTCCTTAACTAGCGCCTCATTCTTGCTGATGATGACCGGCGTGTAGATGCCGGGGAACAGGGGCTTGCGAGACAGCTCCACAACGAACACCTTGTGGTGCTTGCGCTCGGGACCCGATGGCACCAGGGCATCATCGGCGGAGGCATCGGCGCCGCTGCGACCATTGCTGTTGCTGCCGCTGCTGCCAGCAGCGCCACTGCTGTCTGAGTCAGCGGGCTCCTTGTGCTTGTTGCCAAGGCCGGCCCTGTCGACATACGACAGGTGATGGACTCATGCTGCATTCGCTATCTTAATTTGCATGAACTAACGGCGCGTTTGTTAGGTGTGTTCGTCGTTACCTTCGATTAACGACAGAGAATCCTTACTTACCTAAATAGCTTGCCCAGCAGCCCAGATCCACCAGAGGAATCACTGTCGCTCGAGGAATTGCGCGTTTGCTGTAGTTGCCATAACGTACTCTGGTATTGTAAGTAGTAGTAGCGCCGGTTGCCTAAATGCAATAGGCTGCGAGAAAGCGCGTGGGGTCTCATGCCTTCGTCAGGATGTTTCCAGTAAGCTCTACGTTCTTGGCTACCTAGCACTTCAGTTACGCATAACAGGCTAGGAACTTACGAGGGGTATCACTTGCACTGGCTAGATGTGTGCTATCTGCAGCTCGGAGTAATGATTGGTAAGAGTCGCGATGTGCCGTAACCATCGGATGTTGTACAGCTTCTTCTAGGCCCAATCGCCATCAATACAGGCTCTACTTTCTACACCATGGGCATTGTATCCAGCACCGCAAAGAAACCGGGCAAAGCTAGGACCGGGCAATCCCCCGCATCTCTTTTAGTTCAGCAACAACGACAGCAGCAAAGCGGACACGTCAGCGATGAGGCCTTAGAAGCAGAACTGCGCGCTGCTCAGGAAGCAGCGCTCCGGTTGACCCAGGGTGTCGACCTCCTGGCGCAGGAAATCCGGCTGGAGCAGCAGCTGGCCGCGTTAGATGAAGAAGGTCTAGATGAAGATGGCGAGGTTGCAGGCCAGCAAGGAGCTGAAGACGAGGATGTTGACCTCGATGGCTTGGGCTCCGAGGAGCTTGCTGAGCTCGAGGATGAGCTGCAGGTGCTCAGTTGAAAGGAGGGCTGGGAAGGGTTAAGGAATGGGGGCTGGTTAAACAGGAAGGTCAGGGGGCGACTGAGGCAGACAAGGGGTGTTGGTAGCGGCCCCCTAGCGGGTGTTGCAAGCCACAAAACAATGAAAGGTTGGAAGTTAAGGCATCGCCCCCCATGTCGATGGATCCACGGGAGCACCTTGCATGGCGGGCGTCCCACTCCCGCCTCTTCCCGGCCTCATCTGGCTCCCTGTGGGCCTGTTGGGCGGTCACATGTGCAGCTGTACGGCACCAGAGCGACCTGGTGCCGTCTTCCCTGACTGTACGACCACGCTGTGACAACTGTGTACGACATCCCCGCTGACGCATGTCGATATGTGACGTCACCCTGACCGCCCTGCAGGAACTAGAGCGGGAGGTACTGGGAGGGGCCGAGGAGGAGGAGGAGGCGGAGGAGGCTGCCCTGCATGCCTCCGCTGGGGCCAGCCAGGCGGCTGAGGCGCAACCGACCCAGGCAGCAGCAGTGGCGGCGGTGGCGGCCGCCGTCACCTCCGCGGCCGAGTCGGCTGCTGCTGCGGCGGCGCTGCACCCCCGGGCGGCAGCTGCACTGGCCCGCACGGCCAGCAAGGTCGCGAGCAGGGCGGAGGCGCGCGTGGCGGCGGAGGTAGGCAGGAGGGCGGAGGTGGAGGTGGACGAGGTAGGGGCGGAAGCGGGGGGAGAGGGAGGAGCAGCGGAGGAGGAGGAACCAGGGAAAGCGGCACCGACGACAGCTTCGGGGCCAGCGGAAAGGACAGCGGAAGCTGCAGTGGAGGGATCGTCTGGGGTGTCGGGGAGATCAGGGGCGGAGGGGGGAGCAGACGGGGCGGCAGTGAAGGCAGCCAAGGAGGAGGAGGCGGTAGTGGAAGCAGTGAAGGAGGAGGAGGCGGCAGTGGAGGCAGCCAAGGAGGAGGAGGCAGCAGTGGAGGAGGGGGAGGGGGAGCCGGCTGTTCCCCTACTGGCGGGGTGAGGACTCCGGTATGAGCGTGCTTCGGATGAGTGGGGATGTGCTGGTGAGGGCGGCTGGATTCTAGTGGCGTGGGCGCGTATGCATAAAAAAGAACTACGTATTAGGTTAATGGCAGGCTGTTGTAAGTCAGGACTGTTACTGGATGTAGCTTAACGCGTAGGTTAACACGGTGTCGTGAAGAGGTGCTGGAAGAGCGGGTGGCAATCCATTCCAGCAAGGGACAAGAGTAGGACGAGCAACGCGGATGAGGTGATTATCGCGCCCTCTACTTTTAGTAATAGTGACTATAGTGTACGGCAAACAGGCGGGGTGGTGTGCGGCTGGGGGCTGAGGTGTGTGGCACAGGGCACTGTGTGCATGGCTGCTGAGCGGCAGGTGCGGTCTGGCGGGGTGTAGGGACACACATCGGTGCATCGGGTTGTTGTCGTGGCGGCGGGTTTTCAGGTCATTTCGGGTCAAAACAAGTAGAGCAGAGGCTGCAATGCTGGTAGACACCTACCGCGGGGGGGGGCATGCAGCTGTGTGGGGCATGCATGCAACTCGTAAGTAAACGAAAAAACTAAAATTCGAAAGGACTCACAAAGTTGCAATGCACTTCGTCGTGGGCCGATACAGTCTCAGTGCTCCCCTCCTACCTCATTCGTGCATCTCGGTAGAGAGGATCTATTTATTCAATGTCACCAGGCACCAAGCTATACCACCCACCGATCAAGCTGCGTTAACGCCCCCGGTGTACAGCTAACAAGCTAGGGGTGGATGCCTGGGTCAGTGTCTGGCGTCTCAAACCCGGCTGCTATATAAGGGCTAGCGTTCAGGTGGCGAGAACCACGTGCGCCATCCTGCCGTTCACACAACCTTTCACACTTCCTCCCACCGCAATACAACCGAAGCCAACATCCAACGCAACGCTGTTGCGCCTGTGGACGCCTGTTGGCAATCCCCACCTGCCACTCAGCCCTTACATGTGAACACTTTCCGCCTCCCAAACAAACCCTCAACCTAGCAATGGATGAAACTGTCTAAAACGAGGCTGTTATGAATTCCCCCAGCATCGGGTGTCACATGCTTGTCTCCCCAACGCATGTAGCTATTGGAATGAGGCGTGCCGACCCTGCCCCTATCGCTACCTTGGCAGCACCCGCTGCTGCCGCGGCTGTTGCTCCCGCAGGCCTCATCATCTAATACAACCCCTCCTGCTCCACCTCCTGCTGCTGCTCCACCTGCCCCTCCTCCTCCTCCAGCCCCACCCCTGCCGCCTGCAGCAGCTGCGCCAGGTACGCAGTCCTCCGCGCCGCACTGCCCAACTGCTGCCAGCGCTGAGCCACCAGCACCGCCACACGCCAGCCGCGCTCCTAGGAAGGGGGAGGGGAAGCGTGCGAGGAGGTTTGAGGAAGGGGAAGGAGTTGGAGTTGGAGGATTGAGACATGGAACGGCGGGACAGGACATACGGCTGGGGGACACACTTTATCCCGCCGGACGAGAGTAAGGCCCTGAACCACCCCGGCAACCCAGTCACCCCACCCCAGCCCAGCCCCGCCCCGCACCCCCCCTCACCCTGAGCAGCTGCACCGAGGCGAACAGCGGCCCCAGCGGCTGCCCCGCAGAGTTGCTCGCAAAGTCCGCCGCCTCCGCCAGCAACACCACCGCACCCCGCCGCTGCTGCCGCCCCTGCTGCCGCTGCGGAGTCATCACCTCCGCCGGCCTCAGCTCCACCGCCGCCGTCAGTGCCAGCGGAAACAGCGGGTGCGTCACCAGTAGCCGAGGCGTGAAGCCCAGCTGCCGAGCCGCCGCCGCCACCGCCGCCTGCTGCGGGTGCCGCCGACGCAGCGCTGCACGCCAGGTGGAGACCAGGGGGCCTACCAGGCCCGCTTGGGCTAGACAGCCGCTGCTGCTGCTGCTGCTGCCGCTGCTGCTGCTGCCGGCAGCCCTTGTCATCGTCACCCCGTTCCTATGAGCTGTCGTGCGTGTTGGTGTCGTAGTAGCAGCGGTGGCGAGGTGCGCCTCCGCTGCCCCCCTGACTGCGGGTGCGGGTGAGGCGAGCAGCAGGGCTAGCGCCTCCGCCACTATGAGTGCGACACCGGGATCCAGGGAGGGGGGCGGAGGGGAGGAGGAGGGGGAGGAGGGGGAGGAGGAGGAGGAGGAGGAGGGGGAGCGGGGGGCGGTTGAGGCAGCCACCTCTGCCAGACGGCGCACTAAGCAGTCCACTGAAGCCAGGAAGCTGTCCAACGAGCCTCTGCTGCTGCTGCTGTTGTTGTAGCTGGCGTCCTCTCCTTCCTCTTCCTCCTCCTCCTCCTCGTCATCATCATTATCATCACTGCCATCTTGGAACTGGTCTTCGCCCTCGCTCCCACCCTCCTCCAGCTCTCCCTCCTCCTGCCCCTCCTCCCCCTCCCCCTCCCCCACCGCCAGCAGCTGCTGCGCCGCCAGCGCCCACAGGCCCACTGCCGCCTGGTGGCCGGTGAGGCGGGGCGCCAGGCGGGCCAGCAGCGAGGGGCGCGGACCCGACCAGCGGAGGCACACGCCCGCAGTCAGGTGAGCCATAGCCCAGGTGCCCTGAGAGGGGTTGTCAGGGAGTAGGGAGGGAGTTTAGGGGTAGGCAGGCAGGGATATACCAACTATGGTGGCATGTTTTTTCTTGTATCCTCCATTTAGCCTCCTGCGTAAGGCCTTCACGTCATTTCGCAGCCCTCCCTGCCCTCTTTTCCTTCACTCCCCGACCCCCGACCCCACCCCACCGCGGCTACCACGCTTCCCACCTCCACACCCCACCTGCGTGAAGCTCGCTGCCGGCAGCGCCCCAAGCCCCCGCTGCAGCTCCCCTCCCAACACCTCCACAGCCTCCCTTCGGTAGTGACCCGACACCGCACACGCCCACAACACCACCGCCACGCGACCCGGTCCCAGCTCCGAAACCTTGCGCGTGACGTACGACAGCAACGTGTCGTACAACGTGGCGTTGTAGCAGTCGGCGGCGGCAAAAGCCCACAACGTGAGCGCAGCCCATCGAGACACGCCCACACCCACTTCGCCCTCGCCGCCTGCGGGCGAGAGGGGGCGTCCCGTTGCCGTCCTTGGTGCAGTTCCGGTCAAGGCGCCTCCTCCGCTTCCTGCTGCTCCTCCTGCACTTGGAAGGGGCGGGTAGAGCCGCACCACCTGTGTTGCGGCCCGCTGCATCAGCTCGGGAGTGGCGGCGCCGCCTGCTGCTAGGGCCCACAGCGTTAGGGCCAGTCCGTTGCGAGGCAGCCTCTCCAACATACCCCCACCGCTGCTGCTGCCGCCGCTGCTGCTACTCGCTGTGCTGCTGCTAGTGTCGCCGCTATCGCCGTACTCCGGGCGTGCGGTTCCCTCCGCAGGTGGCGTTACCCCCCACCCTTGCTGGCCCCTGCTCCCCTCGCCAGCCAGCAGCAGCTCCGCCGCCCCCCGCAGCACCACCGGGTCCCTCCTGCCTAGCCGCACGAACGCACACAGCACCTGAGGCAGCTGACGGGGACTCAGGCGCGGAAGCAGCTGCGGCGCCGCCGCAGCAAAGGCGTCCAAGACCCGTGGGTCGGCTGCGCCCATATCCCATGGCCGCGGCGGCGCTGGATGCCGCCGTGCCTGGTACCTGCGCCGGTGGCTGGTGCGGACCATGCAGTGCAGCAGCATCACCGTCGCGTCCAACTCACCAGGAGTTAGCAGCTGTTCCGGCTGCTGCGGAGGCAGCAGCGGCGTCCGCTTGTCCGGCTGCTGCTGCTGCTGCCCCCGCCGCTCCTGCTGCAGCTGCTGCAGCTCCTGCCGTTTCCGCCCTCTATCCAACACCTCCAGTAGCCTCTCCCCGGCCAGTTCCAGCAGCCGTCCCTGCCCCAGCCCCAACCGCTCCATGCCCCAGGCCGCCACGGCTGCATGGCTCAGCTCCGCTGCCTCCCGTGCGACCCACAGCGCCTCCGCTGCTGCTAGCGCCGCCTGCCGCTCCGGCCCCTCCTCCTCCTCCTCCCGCCCCCCCGCGCCCAGCCGTGCCAAGGACCAGATAAGCGAGCTGGCTGACAGCACCACCTCCGCCTTGTTGCAGGGCGACCCCGCAGCAGCCTGTAAAACAGCGCTGCCGTCGGCCGTCCCTCTCCCGGACTCCCACACCCTACCCACTCCCTCATGCGCTGCTGCTGCTGCTCCGCTGACGCCTGCCAACCACGGCACCGCCAGCAGAGCCCGGACAGCAGCCGGGTGACGGAACCGAAGCGAAGCGAAGGCCCGCAGCAGCTGCTGCCGGCACTGCCAGGTCCAACCCGCAGCTGGGTCCGGGGCATCCGAACTGCGATTGCCCACGCCTCCACCGCTGCTGCTTCTGCTGCTGCTGGTGCTGCTGTTGTCGGGACTTATGACCGCTGCCCCTTCCGACACAAAATCTAATACCTCTTGCAAGCCGGCAGCGGCTGTCGTCGCGTCACCGGTCTCCCCATCATCCTTTCCCACATCAACGCCTTCGGATGGAGGCTGCTGCGGCTGCTGCTGCTGCTGTGGCGTCCTTAGCTCCTCGACGCATCGCGCCGCCACCGCTCGCAGCAGCGGCGGGCAGCAGTAGCGCAGACCCGCAAGGCTGGCCATCATGAGCGCGACATCGGTGGGGCTGGCGGCGGCCACGTGTGTACGGAAACTGACGGTTGCGGCGCGGAGGAAGACGCTGTCGGCGTGGTGTAGCCGGCGGCATGCCCACGTGCACATGGCTAGGCCCTGAGTGCTCATGTGGGGAGCTTGGGCTGTGGCGGTGGATAGGAGGGAGGAGAGGAGGGGGCGGCCTGGGTGGTGGTCGAGTCGGGCTAGGGCCCAGAGGACGCTGGAGGTGTCCTGGGACCGGAATGCGGGTAGCAGCTGGTGGCATTGGCTTAGGAAGAGGCGCAGCAGAGGTGCCGGGACGTGCGTGCGCCACGTTCCGAGAGCCCAGAGGATGTTGGAGACGGCCTGGGGTGATGGGCTGTTGCTGAGGAGGCCGTAGCGGTGTTCGGCGTCTAGCAGCTGGATGATCAGGGAGTGCGGTGGTGGACGGCCGAGTTTGGCCAGAGACCACAGCACCGTGGCAACCTCCCGTTGGGATGCTGTTGGCAGCGTGGAACAGAAATGTGATGCCAGCTTGTCGAGTTGGGCCGCTGCGGCTGGGCTGTGCGCGCCTGGCAGCTTGACGGCCCTGGATAGCGCCGCTGCGACATGGATGTGGTTGAGCGCCCGTGCATTGCTGATGCACACCGACAACAGCTGATTGATGTCCCCCGACTCTTTGAGAACAGCCGTTAGGAATGGGGCCGAAAAGGCTTTTTGGAAAACGCCTTGGCTGTTTGAACCCCTCGCCGTGGCCCGTGGAGAGCATTGGGATAAGACGAGGGCGGGCAAGGTACTCTGCCTTTCAGCTAAACGACTCGCCTCGACCCGTGGAAAGGATTGCTCAACGACATGATTGCCCAGGTCGTTTGTTTTGTAACTGTTAACATAGGCATAAAGTTCTGGGCAGCCGCATCGGTGGCGACCATGACAATGTGTAACGCTGCGTTGTTGGCCAAGACGCATAGGGGCTGCTACATCGTAGTGCATCGAGTATGCTCTGTTACAGGTATGTCAGTTATTTTACCTAGCCAATTAAGGTGGCTTGGGCATGGATGAAAACACTCCTTTAGCCATTAGACGACAGCACGAGATCACCACGTCGAGCTATATATTAATTAGCTTTAAGGAATATGGTTTACATGCTTTTTACCGGAAAAGCCCTTCCCATACGCGGCTGATACTTTACCGGTACTCAACCGCCGGTTCCATTCTGCCTCGCAGCCCAACCCATCGGTAATCACAATTAAGGCCCGCCTTCGGCGGGAGCGACCCGTAGCTCGGTAAGGGAAGCGAGTTATGTAAGCTGAAAGTTAGGTTGGGTATGTGGTGTGGAACGGGAGGAGACGACAAATGTATGGGCGGTATGTTGCTGTTATAAGGAGTCAATCTCCGTACAATCGGCCGGCAGGTATTCTCTGCCAAGCGTGCAACCGGGTTCAATTGTCTCCAGTCTTGGGCGACGGCCAAGCGAAGACGCCTGCATGCGCGCGGTTGGCAACAATTTAGGATTAAAGTTGCAAAGTTCCAGTTAATCTGGAGCTGGAGTTAGAGAGGCACAACAGCCACCCGCTGGATGTTGCCCGGCGTCATCGGAAGGGTTACCTTGGGTGTGTGATTGCATGGCGGCACAGCACGGTATGGGTAAAGACGCTGTCTCCCACCCCCCCTCCACGCGCAGCAATGCACATCAGGTCCTTACCTGTCACCGGGATATTTGGCGTATGACCAGACGGCGCTGGCTCCTGACCAGCATCCGGACCAGGCGATCGACCACCTACAAATGTACGGTCCCAGGCGACGTCAGACGTACAACTGGTAACAAGGATGAGTCAAATCAAGCTTCCCTGCTCATGCGCACGTTCGGACCATTGCGTTGCAGATGGAAAAGGTAGGCCCCTCGCCTGCTGCATTCGCGCCCTCCGTCGCCGCTTCCACATCATCCTGAGCGTTGCCGGCACAATCCCCTTCAAATGCAGCGCGCATGACCGCTGCCGTGTCTGGGTCATCTGTAGCCACCGCGTGCGCCACTAACGGCTCTGGCACCGTCGGCTTCGCACCCAGAGCGCGATACTGCTGAAGTGCAGCGTGGTCCACCTGAGCCATTGGATTCACGTGAACGGCCCACTCCGCCCATGCAGCGATAGCCAGGCCCCGCATCTCCAAGCATGGTGCCTGCCGCACTTTGGCCTCAAGGTCGGCACGATCTTTGACAGCATCAATTAGCACGACCTGAATGAAGGACGGCAGATCCTCTGGAGCGTACAGCACAACACGCTGGAGCTCGCTGGGCACGTCGTTTGGAAAGGCGAGCGTATGCCCACGCAACGCCGCTGGCAAGGTATCCACCGCGCGCCAGCTGGGCGTACCCGGCTGCCGCACAACGAGCAGCCGCATGTGAGGGCGAGCGAGGCCCACCACCAAGCTCTCCAGATGCGTCAGCGGTACGAGCGAATGACCATGCTGATTTACAGGGGTACGTCGCCGGGATCCAACCGAGCCAGCGCCCCATCTGGAATCCGCCCACCTGGTGAAGGGCAGTGACAGGGGTGTTCAATGTCAGTAGAGGCATGGGAATAGACGGAGGTACAGTGCCAGGGCCCGGTCGAGGCAGCCCATCATCTGTAATGAAAACAAATAGCACCATGCCGGTGCTAATAGTGATCACAACCTTCGCAAACAGACGGCCCCCATGTTACCATAGCGTTCACTACCCAACGTACCCTGTAAGGCCTGTATGCATTCCGAGCAGACCGTAAAGCGCTCCACGCCGTCCGCTGAAACGTTCATCGTTCGGTTAGGCAGTACCGTCTCCGCGCGCATGCAGTACGGCACCTCCACCGCCACGGGATCATTGTCACACAGCCGTACCCCTACCCGCGGCGCATACGTCGGAGGACGGTCTATGTCGCAGCGTTGTCGGCGTGACGGCCGATCATCGGTAGAGTCGTCAAGGCCGCTGCTGGTCTCGCCGCTGTCCTCGCCAGCGGATGTGTCAACTACGCCGACGTTGCCCGACTGACCACCACCGGCCTTGTAGCCGCGTGGCAGTACGGGATCCGGCGGGTTTTTGCAGTCACGCCGATTGACACGTCGCCAATACAGAACGTGCGCGCAACGAGGCACAGCCGCAGTCCGCCGCATGTCAGCACGTAGCTGCTCAACGCCAGCTATCTCGCTGAACTGCAGCGCCCGGACCTCTGAAGCGGACTTGCACTCGCTGCAGACTGCACACACCCGTGATGGCATGTTGTCGCGAACGAACTCGGCGAGGCCACAGGCCTGCTCCGAAAACGGTATCTGGGGAGGCTGTTCACCTGCTGGCAAGTCCTGCAGACGTTTGTGTCTCTAAGAACGTCGGCAGCTCAGGTACAGCTGGATTGTCGTGACGGAAAAGCGGCAAGCAGAGGCAGCCTGAAAGGGACTCGAGGTAGTCATCGTGAGACAAGCCACCCACAGGTCGAGAATGCTTACGCTGGCGAGCTTGCCTAGCTGCTGCCATCAGTTGCCTCCGCTGAAGCCTGCACGCTGCATTGTCACGTCTGCGCGCCTGCCTGGCTGCAGCCGATGCCGCCGCTGGTGCACCCAAAAGGTCGTTCTGCTGTACATGCAGCGCTGTGGAACGCCCATGCCCCAATCCCAGCCCTCCCGCTGCTGCCGCCGGCGCTGCTGCTGGCGCTGCTGGCGCCACTGCGGGGACCTTTTCCTGCGACACACCCAAGGGAAGGCTGGTACAGCGCCAGAATCACCGGAAGTATTGCGCCCGCCACACACACCTTGGTCATCCTTTTCCATGGTGCCCGGCTCGAGGAGCGGTAACTCTACACTTAACAACGAAACGAAAGACGGCAGCAGCAATCCAGTCCAGAGGTTCGGCTAGGACTACTCTCCAGGCAATTGAGTGTTTTTGGTATCCTCGCCCACGTGGCGTGGCTTGGGCGCCGTTATGAATTAGTTTTACGTACGTTCATATATACGTTTATACTTTTAGGACATCTTTTCTTTTTATGCGTTTTATGTTCTATGAAGCGGCGTGGTGTTCCTTGCGAGACCGAAGCGCGATGAAGCCAACGTGAAGCCACACTGGCTACGCATTATAGCCTTAGCCTTTTACAAACTCAGACAAACCCGGAAGCAAACGACTCCTTTCAACGGCACGAGCGACGCCCGAAGCGCGGCCGACCGTTGAAAATCTGGTAAGATCACGAATCAAAGAGCGTGACAGCAAAAGCGCGCCACGCTGGACGGTTCAAAATAAAGGCCGAGCCGTGAACAAGGGCGCTGAAAGGATCCCGTTGAGCGTGACGGGAACGGGGTATGCATCCCTTCGCTTCGCTCCTCCGAAACCGCATACTTCTCACTGGGGCCGCCCATGCGGCCCCAAGCCCCTCCCCCCCGCCACCGCCGCTGGCGTCACTGCCGTCACCGCTGCACCAGGCGCGAAGAGTGGCACCGGGAACGCGCCAGGCACACAAAGCAGGGCCCCTAGCCCCGAGCCCCCGCTCCTCGCCGCCGCCACCGCAGGCGGCACCGCCGCCGCGGCCGCTGCATCACCCGAGGAGCCCAGCGGCGCGCCAGGTGTTAAGAGCGGCGTGCGAGACACCCCAGGCACGCCAGTCAGCGGGGATGTTACCGGCGCCTGGCCCGTGGCCGGCTGACCTAGCCGTGGGTCGCCTGTCAATACTCCCGGCATTACTGGCAGCACAGCAGCCGCGTCAAACTGGTAACACGCTACCTCCGGGTACGGTATGCCCTTTCGCTTCTTGAAAGACAGATCTTGGTAAACATGCTCGTCAAACCGCGAGCAGCACACCTCCTGCAAGTCTGCCAGAACGTGACGAGGAGCGCTCTTCTGCAGCCGCAGCAGTAGGGCGCACGCCCAGACGCGCCCCGGCTGGCCAACGGCACGCAACTGCACCAGTAGACCCTTCAATAGACCCGGCGAGCCGGCGGCCCGAAGGAGCCCATCTCGGGTCGTACACAACGCTGTCCTGATGAGGCGTAGGTCGTCCGCCGAATCCGCAACAAGGGGGCCAAAGCAACGGCGCACTGCCTCAACCACCCAATTATCAGCAGCACATTTGCTAGTAAGTAGCATGCCGGGAAGACCGGCGTGCCCGCGAAGGACGACCAACTGCGCAGCAGCTGCTGCTGCGGGCCAGAAATCGCGAGGCACGTCACCGACCCGGCCCACCGTCCAAACCGGCCCTGTCTAACCCAGGAGAGCTGATAACTCGACATCTGGAGAGTACGGCTCAACAAGAAGCCGGTGTAACGTAGCAGCACACCGACTGGACGCCGGTCGTGTCGCTTCGCCTTCAATACAGCACGGAAGTGCGATACTATGCTTTTACTCCAATTAACTATTTACAAATGTATCTACGCACAACTAAAGATACGTGCACGTGCGGTGTCGCGAGTACCGCAGCTTCGGCAAAAGTTGCCGTGCGAGCAAGGTTCAGGAAACTGGTCCTGTTCTTCCTTTGTCGACTTTTTGTCTTTTCTAAATTCGCACGGCAGGACGAGGACGGAAAGCGCGCCAAGCGGCGAAGGCAAGGATCCCAAGCGAAAAGGCGGTTGGAAGTCTGTTCGTTAGTACAGAATATTCCGCTATCCGATTCGCATCCCAGCGTGACATCAAAAGAACGCTACGCTGGACGGTTCAAAATAAAGGCCGAGCCGTGAACAAGGGCGCTGAAAGGATCCCGTTGAGCGTGACGGGAACGGGGTATGCATCCCTTCGCTTCGCTCCTCCGAAACCGCATACTTCGTATACCACCTAGGCCGGTCAAATGTCGTCCACACTTGGCGTGGAACTCGTCATCCATGAAAGGCGTGGAAAGTGTTCTTCCACACCATCCGTGGAAATGTGACTTCCACGAAGGGCGTGGAATTCTTGCTTCCACGACAACCGTGGAATTTGCATTTCCACAGCTGCCGAGGCAATCCTTGAACTTCACTTGCCGTGGAAGTTTAGCTTACCTGACAAAACGCAATTTTTACAATCGCCTTAACATCTTTAATCGCTTTAATGCTTAATGTTGTCATGCCTGACCCAAAAGGCAAAGCTGAGACTAACGTCGCGAAATTTCCCTTTTCCCTTTGCATTGCGGTCCACAACGCCATAGGGATTTCTAACCTATAATTGAACCTGCCTATAGACTTATGTAGGCTTGCTTGCATGCCTTTGGTTGGAGCGAGATCGCTTGGCTTAGCTATGTGGCACGGAATCGCGGCCGCTGAAGCTGAGGATGTTACGTACCGCAAACACGGCGGACAGGACATGATAGCCAATCCTTTCCTTCCTAATTTATGGGCCCCAAAGTGTAATTACTCCATGGGCAACCTCGCAGTTGAGGCCGTAACGCTCTGTTAGCAACGCGGTTACATAGGTGTTTACTTTTGGCATATACAGAAAGGGACTAAACCGCTTCACCCGCCTGGACATCTTCTCCAACGCAGCAACCCGGGCTCAGTGCACCAATGCCCCCACAGCTCTTACTATGCCTCTCGACCAACACCTACCACGCACGTACCAGTCCCAGGCCCCACGCTTTCCGAGCTCCACTCCGGTGCGGCTGCGGAAGGGCTTGGCAGTCCATGATATCCCCACCATGAGATGCCGCTCCCCCCATTCCATGACATCCGCTCACCCCATTCCATGACATCCCGCTCACCCCACCACCTCCTAACCATCGGACAGCTGGCCGCGACCATGCGCGTTCTGCCCGGGACGCTAAACTCCGGCAGCATCATGGTCAACTGACCCCATTTCGGCTGCCGCTGCTGACCGCTGCAGCGCTGTGTCCATCCCATGGAGGTTGGCTGCTTTCCCAGCACCGCGTACCTCCCATGCGCTTTGTTTGCTTTGGAGCTCATGCGCTTGACCAACAGGATGCGCATGGCGGCGCCATACTCTGGAGCAGCTTGGGACGAGACGCTGGCGCACACGCATGGCGCAGCTGGCCTGCCAACATCGCCTGCTGTTCTGGGGCACGTTTGCGCGGCAGCAGGCTCTGCTGTACCTCAGCAGGGCTGCTCGTGGGCTGGATGCCCCTGCGGCGGTTTAGGAACACAGCAGCCAGTTCCCTCTATCCCCTTTGGCGTCGACGGCTGTCGACGGCGCTCCTCACCCCCCAGCATGCCGTACGGAAGCGACTAGAGGAGCACGGCAAGCTACCTCCAAGCGAGCTGGAGCCATCATCCTGTGCAGAGTTCAAGGCAGCCACCATGGTTGGCCGACGCATCAGCAACCACAATCGCGTCGGGCATTTGTCGCAGCCCCACGCCAAAGCCGCAGCGGGGCTGGAGTTGTTACGGGGGAAGCTGGCGGTTGCAGAACAGGAGCTGCAGCGCGCGCAGTTGCTTTTGTCGAAGTCGCGTGACCTAGACGACCTCTTTGCAATTGACACCTAACGGTATTGCGGATCCAGGACGATGTGCATTGTTGCGAAAACGTGGCACGGCCGGCACCCACCCCGTTAGACTTACCGCACTGGAGTCACATTTTACCATGGAATAGTCGCC